GACTGCTGTAGCTGAACCCAGGACAGACAGGTAACTATTATTGAGTTTGTACTCACTGAGACAGGATCATATTTGCTGTAGAAGCTTACAGCAAAAGTCAGCGAAGGACTGACACCTTATGTAGCTTCTGCTCTAAATCCAGGCCCAAAGGAACACTGCCATGAATCTAAGATTTATACAAAAGCTATGTGTACAGGCTGATGTGTGCAGCATGAGTTCCCATGCTATGTTTTTCTTTCAGAAGGCTTATTTTCTGCTTGTTTGTGCAGAAGTAATTTAGCAGACAATATATGAGCGCTGTACTCCCAAGAGATAATGGTCACTCAGGAGTTCACCTTTTAAAAAGAGATATTGTACATGTCCCAATATTGTCATGCCATTTTAGTTTTATGGGGCACAAGATTGATTTCCTATTCTATTCACCTATTGTATTTTACATAATAGATATGTTATTTTATTATACTAGGCTGCAATAAGAGATGCGTACTTATCTCTCAGTTGATAATGACTCCAGTGTCCACATATGTCTTCAATACCAGCCTTCAAATGATCCATCAACTAGAGAAACAAACATGGAAAAATTTTAAGTGGCCATTACGATAAAATAATGTTGCCAGAAAGATACAATTGTTGACAGGATTTGAAATTTTTTTATTGGAGGGTGTGAGTTAATTCTGAAAGCATGTACATTTCTCTAGAAATCAAGGCAAAGATACCACTGTGGCAGCTCCTATGCTTGGCTGCAGGGTCAATATTTTGATGGAGCAGATGTCAGTCTGCTATCATTTTACCATCACCCAGCAACATATAGGCCCAAGTAAAGGAAGATGATACTGAGCATCCAAATTGCCTGGTCCTCTGTATCTACTGAGACCAAACCCTAAATTCTTGGTTCTGTCCATCCAATTTCCCATCCGCATGTGCGATCTCCCTGAGAGGGCCACAGGGCCAGGTACCCCACACCTTTTGCCTTGACTGAAAAGTCCTCTGAGGAATTTGCGAATTGTCACAAGACTCGCATGTTCATCACAGATAACTACCAGGATTTTCAGTCATCTTTTGTGTGTTTCTAGCATTATAGAAACAAACTGAAATATAGCCAATGCTTACATACACATTGTTACGGTGGGTGTTTTTAAACATAAATTCCTTTCAAAGTTAAACGTGAGGGTTAAAATAATAAGACTTAAACGTACTTCGAATTCAAATCAGTTGAGATGTTTTAATTCTAATGTCTCTGCATGTGCTTAATTTTAAGGCACAGTTCTATTAATTTCAAATATATTCCTTATTGTGAAAATGAAAGCATATACATATATTTTGTGTACCATTGTTAAGTCAGTTTAAGCAGCTTTCTGTAATTTTTTATAATGTTAATTAAGGAGCTAAAGTAAATGTTTGAGAGGGGAAAAGACCATTACTTAGAATAACTTGAAACTAAATTTTGCAGACCAATGGTTCTACTCATTTCAGTTCAATAAAACTTGATTAAAGACTTTTAAGTGATCAGTGTGTACCTAGAAACAGTCAAAAGATGGCAACAAGGTGTTTGACAAATCTAGCTGGGAAGGATAATGACTGCATTTTGAAAATGTGGCCTTTAGGGTTCTGCCATGGTCACAAGTGCCAAGAAATAAGGGTCCTGTTACACCATGACACTTGTGGTATAATATTATAATGATAGTGACTATGAATATAAATGAGATACAGTTTAGAAAATTATGCCTAGGGTTTCCTCCAAATATCATTAAAAGCATTCAGTATCCAAATTCACTGACTGCCAGTGCCACCAAATGCCTTCCTCTGTCCAGCTCTTTTGAAATACTCTTTCTCTTATTTTTAGGTTACCAGCTACTGATACAAAAGACTTACTCGCACATGAATCTCTTCATTGATAGACTCCTTTTTGTTGGTCTTTTTCACATCTAGATATTTGACCAGTGGTCCAATTGTGATTCCCTGCATTTGGAGCAATGAGTTGAAATGTTAATTATCTTTTAGAAAAACAAAACAAAACAGAAAGAAAGCAAAAGGATTTAATTCTAATCAATTAGGAAAGCTGTGTCTTAGACATATTAATTGTATGGAGAGCTACAAAAGAGGTTTAAAACTTAAATTTTTTTTAAAAAATTATGCACCAGTGTTTTTTTAATCAAGATTGTATTTATTGATATGTTTTAACTCTTTGCCAACCTTCAAAACAGCACTCACTTGAAAGAAAACATTGTGTTTGTGAGGTTCTTACAATCTTAAAATCTCTTACTTCAGCAAGTTCAGAATTAAATATTTTGGGCGTTTTTTTTAACTTTGAAATTATTTTTAGCTCTTTCCAACTCTTTACTGCACTGCCACTGAATAACATTTTAAAAGGGGAAACAGAAACAAAAATCTTTTTCTGAAACATTCTGGTGGAATCCAAGTGCCTAACTACAAGTGCATAGTGCCCCATTGATACCCTAAGTTATCTGAGATTTTGGTACAGGAAAATACAGACCATGGGATGCAAGACTTTCAGAAGATCCAGTTCTTCCAGATACAGCAGTGTAAGCCAAGTGGAACAGCCCAAACATCTGAAGCAGCCAGCTATTCCTAGAAATCTGAATTATTCACTTAATTTTTCTCTAATATTCTTTTACAAAATTCAGAATCCTTCATAGAACAGACATATAATTTTCTGTTCAGTTTGAGATACACCGCTAATAGAAAATGATTCTGTGCTGAAGTGTAAAGTTAAAATGCTTCTTTATTTGAAAGCATTAGGAAGCACATCTGGAGTGAACATAAGAGATTTTGGGCATAAAATGCTCCTTTCTTTGAATATTTTAAAAGACACAGGTTTTCAATGCCAACTTTCTGAAAAAGTTATTTAATAGTGACTAAAAAGCCCTGAAAGGGTAATTATACATTGCAGTTCTAAATCTGGCCATAAAATATGATAGCTTGTCCTAATTTAAGAGTAAATTCAATGCAATCTTCACTATGAAGCTTTCAGTCCACCTCTATTACAGGAAAGCAATCCATTAAGAAATACACTTACTTGGATGAAGACAGTGAAATATATAACTACAAGAGTAGCAGTAATGAACAATTTTTTTCTTGGGAAGAGATTCACTGGAAGCAAGAATGCAAGAGAGAAGCTGCTGGCTCCTCGAAGGCCACTGTAGGAAATAATGAGCTGGTCTTTGAAGGTGAAGGGATATGTTCGGAACTTGTTGCTGATGTAGAAGAGAGCAAATACACCTAAAAAGAAAAAAAAAAAAACCAACCTATTATTAACCAAGGTGAAAAGGAAAATACTTAAAGCAAAACAACATCTTGGCTCACACAGCTGTTGGCAGTCTTTTCAGTTTTGGTTTCTTGTAGCTTCTCTTTGACCAATTGCTTAATCTGGTTTGCATGAAACAATCTCCTAGAAAAGACCATTGTTACTATCTGCTTTGGGATTTAAATTCATTTATGCAGTTTAGAAGTGAGGTTAGGGGAAAATGTTTACTTTCTATATTTATAATGCACACCTCTTTTCTGAAGTGTTCTGGAGACAAGATAAACCACTGGATGAGAGTTTTTTCTGTGACTGCCCTTGTGGTGTTTCCTGCTTTCAGTACAGTGTCTGTCCAAAGTGTTTGAACAGTGCTTTACCAACGAGTCCTATAGACAGACTCACTGAAAGGCAAAGACTAATAGCATTTTAATTTTTAATCTTTTGGCTTATTGTGTCTCTAATTCTGTGTTTATTTCTTAAATTTAATTTTGCTTGTTATAGAAGTCAAATTAATCAGACAGCCTGTGGCAGTGTAAGGACTGCAACTCTTCTTTATAGAGTATGTTTAGCAATCTGCTTGATTTAATCTTCATCTTCCATAAGAAACACGTATCCTGTTTGTGTGGAAACTGTTAAATTACTGAAGCAAAAGCTAACAAATGCTGATAATTACTGGTATTATTTTACACAGCTGTCCTGTTAAACTCAGTGCATTATTATAGGTAAGGCCAGTAGCAGTATCCTGTTATGCAGGTTGCTGGATACCGCTTTATGTAAGACTTTTTTTGGCTACTTATAGCTATGCTAAAGGTCAGCTACTCAAATTGAAACTACATGTGTGAGGTATCACTCTCAGGCCAATTGTCTTTATTTTACTCAAGCTTCAAGCAAATTGATGTAATTATTTTAGCAAACAAATTTAGCAGAAAATATTTCAGCCTTCCTCTGGAAAGCTCTCGCACTCCCCTTGGTGTTTGAGAGAAGGATAGACATGTAGCAGCAAAATAGCTTTTGTATCAGTATAGCACTTTTTTTGTCTTGATTGGATGGATATTCAAATACGGACTCTGAAAGTAAGCCTTTAAAAACTTAGAGGTCATGCTTTGTCCAGGGTTAGCAAGAAAATACTTAACTGCTTTCTTTTTGCTGTCAGCCCACAAGAATTATGTTGCCTTTACCACTGAGTACCTGTGACATCCCTATATAATAGAGCTGATTAGATGCATGTACTTTAACCTTCACAGGTTTCCTCTTTCTTTTCCCTTGGGTTAAATGCCTTCCTACAGGGCTCCCAGGCTTAAAAGTCAAAGGTCTTTAAATATGTATGGGTTTTGCAGGTCAAGCCAATATCTTCTTTCTCTCTGGTATTCTTTTTGTCTGAAGGGATAAGCCACCTTAGAGATTTAAGCAAGAGCACCTTAATCTCAGGTGCTTGATGCCAACATTTAGCTGGTCCCAAATGTTAGACTCAGAGTACTGTAGGCTGGAAAGGACCTTTGAAGGTCATCTAGTCCAAGTCCGTACTCAAAGCAGAGCTAATCAGATCAGGTTGCTCAAAGCTTCAGTCAAGTCTTGAATGCTTTTAAGCATAGAGAGCTGGGCCACCATTAAAATACCAGATCACGCTCATGTTAAGAAATGGGTTCCTGCTGTCTAATCGGAATTTGCCATGTTCCAGCTTGTGTCTGTTCTTTCTTGTCCTATTGCTGTGAACCTCTGAGAAGTGTCTGGTTCCATCTTCTCTCTCTCTTCTAGCCGGGCACTTGTAGAAAGTAATGACGTCTCTCCTCTGGCATAACTTCCTCAGACTGCATAGACTCAGCACTCTCACATTCTCCTTGTACATCCAGTGCTTCAGCCTCTTGCTAGGTTGGTGGCCTCTATTGAACTTGATCCAGAACCTCCATGTTTTTCCTACACTGAGGAACCCAGAACTGGAGAGACTGCTCTGGAAACGCACATTTCCACCAGTGCTGAAGAGAGGGGAAGAAACACATTGCTGCACCTGCTGGCACAGGTGCTATACACTTGCTAATGCAGCCCAAGACACTGTTGGTTTTCTTCGTCACGAGGACACAATTCTGGCTTACGTTCAACCTGTTATCTACCAGGCCAGGTCCTTTTCTGTAGAGCTGCTTACTAGACTCCAAGCCTATACTGGTGCCTGGAATTATTCCAAGCCACATGTAAGTCTTTGTAACTGCTCTTCTTGAATGCAATGAGCTTTCTGTCAGCCCATTTCTCCAGCCTGCCCAGGTTCCTTTGAATGGAAACCATCCCGAATATTGACTGCTCCTTGCAGTTTGGTCTCAGCCACACACCTCCTCAGTGTACACTCCATTCCATTGTCCAGGTCATTAACGAAGATGTTAAAACAATATGGTTCTCTGTAGTGAGCAGAGGGATGCCATTAGCCACCAGCTAGACGAGTATTTTGAGCCCAGATTATCAACCATATTATAAACCACTTCAACTGGCCACAATCTGCTTTTTGAAGTACAGGGTTGTAATTCTGCTGTTTGTTGGCTTGATCACTCCTCTCAGGACCTTAGCATCCACAGTCTCATAGTCACTGCAGCTAAGGCTGCCCTCAGTCTTCAGCTATTTCTTCCTTCTTTGTGCATGGTAGGGAAGAAATCATATCCTTCAGCTGATTCATCAACCACTGTCCAGCAAATATCACTTGCCTTTTCCTTTCAACCCCTTTTTGCCTTCCCCTTCAGTGTACAGCTGGCCCTGATAAGTCATCTGCAGGTCTTATTCCTCCTCAGTACTGTAGCAGATGATGCAGAACCAATGCCCAGAGCTGAAGCCTGTATAGACAAGGCCTGAAAGCTGGAGGAGGTGGTGGCAGGTGACCAATGTAGATTTCTGCCCTGGAGGGGCCTCCTTTGATTATGAATGAAACATGGGGGAACTAACCTACTAGCTTAGTTAGTCAAGGTAGATGCCTGAATGTCAGCATTCAGAATATATCCTCCACCTGATGGATTTCTCATTTTCTTTAAAAATATAAATAGCTCTGAAAAATCCTACTGGTAAAAAAACCAACAAACCAAAACCAAAAAAATCTATTAAGATGGCCAGTCCAGGTACTTAGAAGTTAAAAAAATGTCAGAAATAAGGTTGCCTGCATAACTGTATTTTTGGCCTTCTCATGTGTACTACTTCCGAAACATCTTTACATCTTTCATTACAAAAACATTGTTCACCCATATTTTTAACTAAATTTAAGTGATAAATAATAGTGGCACAGTAATGGATGTTCTAATCCATCACTTCTTCAGGTGTACATGCATTTGCTTTCTGTTGCAACACTAGCAACTTAATGTGATGCAGAATAAAGTATTCAGGTTCAAAAAGGATGGCATAATTCATGGGCAATGCATCTGAAACAGACCCCTATTTGCTCAGGTTGTTGCCCCCGCCCCATTTTTCATGTGCAGATTTGTGAAATTAACTTCACAGTAACATAAGCTTAGTAAATTTGTTATTAAACCGGTTATGCCAGTCTGCACAGACTTTTCTAACACACCTTTGCACCAAAGGGTTTATCTCAGAGGTGCAGAGAAGGTTGCCTGCAAAAGCTGACTTACTCAGTGTCCGCCAAATGAGGCAGAAGAGCAGCGTGGAGCAAATGAAGGCCCAGTTCCACTCATGGTTTTTCCCCACTGTAGATACTCCCATGAAAACAAAAATCAGGGTCTCGCTGACACTGCTCAACATCTTCATGAAATATTTTATTGTGGTATAGGAATTCTGGGAAACGTTCTCCTCCACATATTTTTTCATTGTCACTGCACATGATGTCATCCTGTAGCAGGGAAAACATCAGGATCAGCCACAACCTGCCTTTTTTTCTTCATTTAAGAACAACCTCAGCCTTCATTATCTCCACGACCAGTCACTGACTTTCCTAATATTAAGCTTTTATTTCTTCAGTAACATTAGCTATTTCATTAGGTAGAAGAACATCTTCATTTAGATTTACAAATCCATTTTGCATACAGGAAAAATGAAGCAAACCAGTCAGCCTTCCTGACAAGGAAGTGAGGGTATCACATTCCAGTTCAAAGTCCATTTTAACCTGAATGCTTAACACACAAGCCACCAAGCACCAAATGTTTGAGTCTCAAACAAAGGGGAACTTTTGTACCAACCTATGGACAGGTTGGTAGAAGGATATAACCTGCCTCTTAATGGTCTTCTCCTTTGAGGTGGTGGTGGTGGTGAGACATAGTGATAATCCTATTTCAGGGCTAAAGCTCCCAAAGGTTCCCTGCCAGCTAGCTGGTGGATCAGCAGGGTTAGGATAAGCTTCAGTGACTCTCGACCCACAGTAGTTCATTGTGTACAGTGAGGGGAAATTCAGTTATCCTGCAGAGGTGTCCTTCCCCCCTCTTAGTTATGCAGTGTGTGAGGAATGTGTCTAAGGAAGCAAAAGGATGTTTTTCACCTCTTCACTGTTAATGAAGACTAGAGTCTGCTTCAGAGGCATCACCAGCCACCTGACACAAATGTCAGTATCAATCATCTGGAGCAGTACTCTTTAAGTAGCCCTACTGAAGAGGGTTTCCTCTTGCCCTCTTTATTGTCCCTAGTCATAGGTAATAAATAGATTGAGTGCTATGCTAGTAGCATAGTCCATCATCTATCTAATTTCTACTGATACTATTTTAGTCTTTGGGGGCTTCTTCCGATGATATTTTTCCAAACTTGTGAACTCAGAGAATGCTGACTGTTCATTAAATAACCCTTCGTCTAGCTTCTGCTCATTTAATTTCCACTGAAGAAATCTCAAGGGTATTCTTGTGAAGCTGAGATATTTAGCAAGTCCAAGGACACTCTAAGACAAGGCCATTAGGAATTAATGTTTAATACTGTTGGCTTTCAGAGGCACATGCATAATAGACTTTCATGACCCAAGTGAAAAATGAATGAATTCCTCAATAATTCAGAAGGGTGACAATAAGTTCCCATCCCTAAAACAAGCAATAATTTCCTTAATGAAGCAGTAAAAATAATAAATCCCAATTATATTAACATTCTTTTATTACTAATAATTTCAGCACTCTAATGAAAATATGTAGCAAAAGAAATAAAGACCTATGTAGTCTAGTGTAATGAATAGGCAGGGAAGCAGTACTTCAGGCAGTGCAGCTAGGGAAGGGTCCATATGAGTATGAGTGCTCACCACATGGTAAGTCTAACCCTGCTCAATTAAAGTTGCCAGTTATCTCAATCAAAGCAAAAGTGTTAGATATACAAAACGTAGTACAAGAGTCATCTGGTTTGTCTAATTGCTCAAGAAAACATATATCCTAACTACTTATTTAATATGGTTAAATATTCAAATATTGCTTCCCAGGGCCATCCTGCAAAGGTTGTTTTTATAAAGCCAGTTCTACTCTGAAGCTGAACAAATTGGGGTTGTTCAGCCTGGAGAATAGAAGTCTCTGAGGAGACCTTATTGCAGCCTTTCAATACTTAAAGGGTGCTTATAAGAAAGATGGGGTCAAACATTTTAACAGGCCCTGCAGCAACAGGACAGGGGTAATGGTTTTACACTAAAAGATTTTAGTAGATTCAGACTAGATATAAGGAAGAAATCTTTGACAATGAGGGTGATGAAACACTGGAACAGGCTGCCCAGAGAGGCTGTAGGTGCTCCATGCATAGAAAAGCTCAAGGTCAGGCGGGATGGGGCTTTGATAAACCTTTGATCAACCTATCTAGTCAAAGATGCCCCTGGACATTGCAAAGGGCTAGACAAATTTAAAAGGTCCCTTCCAATCCAAAGTATTCTATTATTCTACAGTTCCATGAAGTTTGACATGTGGAGGTGAGTAAATGCACCTATCTGGATATCAAAAGCCACACGCTTGTATTTTTTAGATTTAAATTGGTTTGTCCTCAATAAAGGGGACTCCTTTCTGGAGCACCAGTGCCCACAAGACCTAGCATGCAAGCTCAGAGCCAACACAGACCATTCAAGGCTGTTGCCGCTCACCAGATGGGCACTGAGCCTGCAGCAGCCACCAGCACCAGCTGGAGAATTTACTACCATCAGGTTCCCATTTCTTTACCCTGCTGAGGAGCATTTTGTTTGAAATTCATTATTCATTATTTGTTTGAAATTCAGTATTATGTTTGAAATCCACCTCCCAGCAGTTTTCTTGTAAAGTCTCTCACTTTCACCCCTATTCCTTTCTCTTCTGACTCCTTTCCTGACGCTGCCCTCTTTCCTTTGGACAGTACTCATGCTCTCTTCATTTACTATGGTCAATAGACCTTCCAGCTTTCTCTCTGCAGTGGGCACCCATGCCAACACAGCACTTTAAGGAAGCAGTCCCTAGCATTACAGCAGCATCAAGGTATCCTGATCACATTAAAATATCTTCATCAATGTCCATATGCATGACTATATGTATGCATATGTACTTGATGTTCTTGGCTGTCTGGTTTTGCCCAGTGTCAGTTCCAGTGTTGCTGCTGAAATGTAAAGTAATTCTAGTAAAATCTGTTAGAGGTGATGTTCACAGCTGTATACAAAAGCAAGAACTCTGACATTCTTTATTATGTTTGCCATACTCATTACTTTTCATTTTTCTTTTAATCTGATGGTGATGCTGCCTAGGAATAAATACAGATACGCTGAGCTATTATCAAGTAAGTCTCTCATTCTCCTCATCCTGCCATAGGTAGCAGCCTGATGGTGGCAGCACTAGCCATTTCACCTACAGCTTGCAGGAAAATTTCAGAGCAGGCATGCTCTCCTCAGTAGTACATCTATACTTATGCTGACTGTAGGTTTGCATTTCCTAGTTAGCACTGCATTTTACACAACCTTTAGAAGCCTTCCACTGCAGATCTCTAGGACGGAGACTGAAAATGCCTGTATTGTACCAACCTCATGCAAACCACCTCCTCAAAGTAATAATACTTCCCTCAATAGGGCATCTGAAAAGCCGTAAGTGATACTCACGCCAAAATGCCTGAGATGTAAAGGGTTTCAGCAGACAAGTATGCCAGGTAGCTGAACATGAAGACCAGCAGGGGTTCGATGGCAGAAACGTTGTGGGTGAATCGAGTCATGAATGCCGAAACAAATCCAAAGATGATGCCAAACAACACACCACCCAGCCCCACTACGAAGAAGCGAGCAAAGCCAGCAAAGACATCGATGGATTCAATTTCTTCATACCTGTGCATCTGGGTGAAGGCGATGAAGATATTATATAAAACCTACAAGTGAAAATAAGGAGACAACAGTCATGTGTCTGTCTGAATCTGGCAAGCTTACTCATTTCATAGCTCTGTGTGTATGTGCGCACACCTGAAATTGCTTTAAATGGATCAGCAAAGTAACAGTTGAAACCTTAGCTGTTCTTAACAAGTCCCAGAATTAAGGGTCTGCTAAGCATCTCAAAAAATAGCAAAAACCAGAAGGGTAGATAGTTATGTAACAACAGTAAACCTCTGAGGGATCAAGTGCAATTAAAGTAACCAAAAAATACTCTTTTTTTCGTTTGCTTTTTGAAGGTAAACTTAATAACTGGTCTTTGTAGGAGATGTTTAAAGCCCAGCTGGGTACCTTAACAATCTCAGGCTCTACACTCCATGCTCTCTTTCTGATTCAGGATGGGACACAGCACACTTTTGATTTAAATTCCATTTAGATTGCATTATCAGTAGAGTGGACACACTTCATTAGATAGACTGTGGAATGTTAAATGTTTATCAGTAGTATTTGATCCACAAAAATCGTGAATCACTGAGAATGGGAAAGGAAGCAGTTGAGGGAAGGCAAGGCAAGGCAAGGGAAAATGGTAGCCTCATTTTCATATTGTCTTTAGCTAGATAAATACAGCCTCTCTATCCTCACGTGACAGGAACTCTGTCTCAATTGCAAAGTGGGAATCAAAAGTTGTGGTGCTTTAACTGGCCTAAATACCCTTCACACATATATTTTGACTAGAAAGCATGAAATGACAGAAATAAAAAGAAAACAGTGTCAGATTCGAAGAAAGAATAAATTTCCTACATTGTATAATTTGGTCTCTAAATGTAATTTAATTTAGATCATATAAGTTTGTCATTATCAATAATCTCTTCTCTGAAGAAATTTGTGATGAAAATATTCCACTTTCAACCATCTTCTAGAAATTAATAGAAAGTTTCCACAGTAATAGGTGGTATAGTAATAAAAAGGTCTTAGAAGTTGCTGACAGTCAGTTAATATTAAGTCCTGTCAGATCTATTTACAGGGAGTGTGTAACACATGAAAGTCACCTTTCAGTTTCCAAGAGAATTTGAGGAATATTCAAAGACACCAACTCACCAAAGTTGTTGCACCAAAACATTAGTCAAAAATGGACCAAAATAATTTGCCTTATTTGGTTTTCTTTCGTCTTTCTTCTTCATATAGTTAATTCCAGAAGGTTACTAAGAAGATTAAAACAGATATTTTCAGGTAGAAGAGCCAAGCTCATTAGGATAATAATTATTCCCCAGCTACTGTCTAATCTTAAATTGCTGCTGGGAACATATGACCTTGAGCTGTCACACATCCTGTTCTCATTGCTAATATTTCCAAGGAACAGACAAAGCATAACATAACGTTTCACATGAGAAAATATCCAGAACTGCTTTTTCCTGATGGCTATGTATGAAATTAGGCTCTTCAGTGGCAGATAAGGAAAAGAGGGTTCATGTCTCCATAGTAACTAACTCTTACTGTGCTTACCATATAGCTTTTAATTACAAAGCCTGTTTTCTGTCTGTCCCCCCTTTCTTGCAGACTTCAATCTCTTCCTAAGACTTGTGATTCTTTAGAAATGATACCAAGGCATGAATCTATGCTGACTTATGAGTAAAGCAAATTACCCTCAGGAAATTACTTAGTAAATTTTTCTCCCATTTTTTTCATTCCTAAAGTGTCTCTATGATATAACTGATGGCAATAAATGGAAATTATGGAAATATTACATAATTTTCATTGTTTTGTAACGTGTTGTTTTGTAGTAAACTGTTCTGTACAGCATCCTGAACCGCATCATACAAATAAAGCTCCATGTAGAATCACAGAATCATAGAATGGCTTGGGCTGGAAGGGACCTTCCTAGTCCAACCCACCCTGCAATGAGCAGGGACATCTTCAGCTAGATTAGGTTACCCAGAACCACATCCAGCCTGGCCTTGAATGTCTCCAGGGATGGGGCATCCACCACCTCTCTGGGCAACCTGCTCCAGTGTTTTACCACCCTCAATGTACAAAATCTCTTCCTCACATCCAGCCTGAATATCCCCTCTTTTAGTTTGAAACCATCACCCATCCTATCACAACAGGCCCTGCTAAAAAGTCTCTCTCCATCTTTCTTTATAGGCCACTTTTAAGTACTGAAAAGGCTGCAATAAGGTTTCCCCAGAGCCTTCTCTTCTCCAGGCTGAGAAGGGTAGGAGACTGTGTTCATAGGAGAGGTGCTCCACCCCTCTGATCATTTTCATGTCCCTCTTCTGGACCCTCTCCAACAGGTCCATGTCTTTCCTGTACTGAGGACTCCAGAGCCGGACACAGCACCTCAGGTAGAATTTCACCAAAGCAGATTAGACACTGCAGTGTTTATGCCAGTAAATTGAGTACTATAATTTTTTACATGGTAGGAAAGCCTGAATCAGCTTAGGATGTCTTTGTAAGGCACCCTTTGTAAGAAGGGATGTATTGATAGCTGGCCTCATTTAACAACTCTGAGAATGTCATGCTCTGGGTTTTTTGGAGAGGACATTACCATGTAGTGGTGTACCACTGAGTGGCTGTTTGAGCCACAGGGAGGAAGAGAGAGCGTGACACTGTCACCCACAGGGGACCTCCATGGGGACAGGTCCCTGCTCCAGCTGCCTATATTATACATACATTGCACATACCATCCACATGCAGAAACTCTGCAAAAAAGATTTTAAAGTGGCTGCTTTAACCACCAACACAGGCAAACTTGATAAGTCTTTCTTTCCATCCTGATAACTCTTCCTGATCACATGTATTTAACTTTATTCTAAACACAGAAAATATCTCCATCCTCCTTCCTAGCGCCCATACATCCCAGTGGTCAAAGCCTTCCTCAGAAACATCCAAGAGTAAATTCAAATCTCCTCAAATGAAGAAATTAATTTTACTTGCACCTCCATCATGCAGTAAGTTTTCTTAACTGCTCTGGTGCTACATACAGAGAAGAGAGGGCATGATTAGAGAAAATAGTCACTGCCACTTCATTTTGACTACAGCATGATGCATAGGTGTTCTCGGTGTTTCTAAAATCAGGCCACAGAGATGGAGTAGTAAGGGGAAATATTTTGTTTCCTCATGCACACAGGTGCTCAAATGCTGTTGAGAAATGGTCTGTGTATGTGTGGGAGCAGAGCTTCAAATGCCTGAAACACTTCCCAGCAAAATCACATTCTCCACCTGTGCTCAGGTTTGAGTGGAATCTGCACTGGATTTACCAATGTCACTGTATTAAAGAGGGCTTTGAAATTCCACTAGTGTATGCTACATGTTAAGGCCAGTCCTGTTGCTATCTGCACTTTTCTGATGCTAGCAGTCTGCTCAGAAGCAACTGGGAAAAGGATATTTGTATTTAAACAATGAAAAAAAGATGTATGCTTAATATATCTTGTTGATATTATCTTTTTAAACACATAGAGTTAACTCAAAGGAAACTGTTAAGAGAAACACAGGGAGGAACTGAGACACCTGAGATATACATTTTTAAAGCCTTTAGAAAAAGCAAGTGGGGTATCAGAGAGGAGGAATACACCTATTGGGCTCCATGCAGGTGACAATTACTTCAGTCTTCTCAAACATGAAGCTAGGTAGAGATTTTGAAGATCTGAATGTCCTGAAAATCGATGAGTTATGGGTGATGCACAGATGCATCAGCAAGAGCGACAAACTGATTGCAACACAGCTGCTGTGAGAAGAGCCCAAAAAATGAGGTGATGTGGGGCAAATGGAACTCACAGTGGTGTAGCCAGCATTCCTTGTGTACAGCCCTTTCATCTCTTTTGCTAACTTACCTAGTGTTGCTGAGGAATGCCTACATACCACTGTTCTTAAAGGCTTTCTGTCACTACACATTTATGCTGTAGCAGGTTGCTGACTGAAAGTTCATGTAAATAACATGATTAGGATCCACATCATAAATACCAGCTGGGAACAAAGGGAAGGCAATGTAGAGAGCCAGTCAAAAAAAGGATGAAACAAGCTTTTCCATTGTGAGGAAGAGGTATAATTTTTTGAGGTCTGCATGTGAAGGAACCAAAACGACGAGTGTAAGTGATAGATGCATTGAGATTATTTTGTTACAACTGTAACACTCAAGTAGTTTGCATGTGAAGTTAAGTAACATTTATTCCTTAATTCTACATCAGCCCTACATCTCTGATTCACCAAGAGGAAGGATTTATGATAAATAGGCTGTGGCTATAAGAAATTACTTCATTCCTTTTCCTTTTTGCATTGCTCATAAGCTGAACTTCTCCCATGAAGTTCAGCAGTGAACTCTGTACAGATTTTGAAGTCCAAGTTGTGCTGTACCTCATGTATAACAGCATCTGAATAGTTTTTATGTGCTCTAGATTCCTGTGATTAAAATTCTGTAAAGATCTTATCTAGCAAAACTCCTTAACCTGCAGTTAACTTGCAGCACATGAGCAGTCCTGTTGGTTTCTGTGCTATTAATTTCCTGCTTGAAATTTTCCTTGAAAAACATGCATGTTCTAAGTGATTTTGCCAGTTGTGGTTTGCAGCTAGAATTTCAGGTTGTTCCAAGTTTTAGCAAATTTTTAGAAAAGTATTAGCAAAACGAGTTCTGTAAAAAACATTTTTTCCTATTAAAAAACCCAAAATACAAAAAAACTAACAAACCCAAACCAACCAAACAAGCAAACAAACCCCCAATGAACAAAATCTTTTCTATTCCAGAAGCACTGTTTCTGGACACTTAAGACATCCAAGAAAGGTGAATGTTTTTCAGATATCAATTTTTTACTGATAGAAACAGAGCTAAGCAAAGTTATTAGTGGCTTTTCGAATTCCTGTCTAATGTCTCTGGGGAATTTCCTAGGAGAAGCAGGAGGAAGGAGTGCAGCACCCAGAGGTTGTTCATATCTGGTTTGGTTGGGTTTTTTTGCAGAGGGCTCTCTAAGGCATGTGACAAGGAAGGTCTCCTGTATTTCTACCCCTGCTGCCTTCAGTCTTTAAGCAGTACAATCTTCTATTTATTTGGTTGCACAGTATCAAGAATTTTCATAGGTCCTACAGGGATCTTATCAGCAAAATTAGCTTTAGCTTATCCATTCACTTAAGTGAATGCAAGAGCAAGATGTGAAGTCTAATGTGCATGTCTATGCTTCCTTCTCCCAGTAGATATAACACAATATGCTTTTGAAAGAGTTAATACAAGATGTAATCTTTATATACATTAAAATTAGTTTTGTGTGATGGAATAGAGTATCAGTAACATAAATAAGGTATCTAGGATCTCCTTAGAACTGCTCTTGTCTTCTGCCGAATAACCCTACAAGCCACAAGAGCCCAAAGAAGGGAAGACAAGGAGTAGAAAGAAGCTCACCACGGTGATGCCATCATTTAACAATGATTCTCCAAAGATCATCATATAAAGCTGTTCATTAACGGAGGCTTCTTCAAAAACTACCAGAGCTGCCACAGGATCCACAGCTGAAATCATGCTGCCAAAGAGCAGGTTCTGAAGCAGGTCCAGATCAGTCAGGCCAAAGGCTTCTATCTGGCAGATTCCATAGAGGGAGAGACCAATTCCAAATGAGTTTAGCAGAGATCCCAGCAAAGACCACCACAGGATGGACACAAAGTTTTCAAAAAATGGGCGAGTTGGCATGAAATAACCCTCTTCTAGGATAATGGGTGGAAGGAGATACAAGAAGTAAATACTTGAGTTCATCACTGGTGGAGATTTGTGATCTGAAGCAAAGATGATCGCTCCTACTAGTGCTCCAATGACAATCAGGATGCAACTTTCGGGCATGAGTCTTGGTAATCGGTGATAGAGGTGGAAACCTTGAATAAAACATTAGGGTATTATTCCAATTTAAATTAACCTGATGTCAGACAGATGTTTTGCTTGCCTTTGAATACTTTGTCTTCAGACAGGCAGGTTTTGCTCTTTAGATTATGAATGTAAAAACAGGTAGTACCATTCCCTTCAAAATTAAACATTTCCAGACTTGTACTTCTAAAGCAGGGAGAGTTTGGCCAGGAATCTCTTGTCTACCTGCTCCCCACCTAGATTTCTGAGCAAGTGTGAGTCTAAGCTCTACTTCTAAGAATGCAGTAACTTCTTTGAAATTGTACTCCACAATTTGGAAAGAAAGCATTCTTCAAGAGTCCTTGCTGCCAGACTGCTACTGCCAGACCCCTGTGGCACAGTATTGTCCCTCCATCTCAAAGATGGTTCCAAAGCAGTTCCGCCCTCAGTGCTGTGGAGGATCACTGGCTGCAGAGCTCCTGTGGGTTTGGGCTGGCCAGGAACCTGGAGAAGTCCGAGGGAACAGCCCAGATGCCATCATCTGCTCAGCTCACTCCACTTCCAGCACTGTCCTGAAGCATTAAATGAACTCCAGATCATCCACAGACAGAGGGACTGAGTACTCATGAACAGTAACATATGCAAAGAAGCAGGAATCAAGCCCCAGTAACGTAAGGCTTTGTACAAGACGATTAACCTTGCATTTCTGGGAAAACTGCTTTTCCTATATAGGGTAAAGAACCCTCTGAGTTAGTTTACTGAAACAAAACCAGTGATTTCAGCCAGGCTGAAATAACTACCAGCAGCAATCAAATATCTGAGAAAATAATGCATCCTAAGGGATTTTTTTTTCCTTCACTAGAATAAAGGTTGAGTCTACACTAACAAATTAGTCAGGCCAAAGAATTTTCAAAGCAGAAAGGTTCAGGCTGCATCCATACAGCCAAATTCTCTTCCCTACCCCAGCAAGGAGTGGTCACATCCAAACTGCCTGTGGGAACAGATCCCGGCCCACAGTCTGCCTGGGCACTGCCTTGGAGAAGGCTTGTCAACATGAGACAGAGCTGAGAAGGAGCACACCAGCACTGATGTGGTATGGACAGTCACGTACAGCTTCCCAGTAGGGTGCTTGTTAGTTTACAATCATAGATATAGTCAAGCTGTTTTACAGCAAAAGGGCCATACTTACCAGTATAAATGTTGTGGGTGTGAATCTCCTGCCCACCTCAATGTACTACTAGTGTAACTGCATTCATATAATTCTTCCCATCTGACAAAAATACTGACACTAATAGTAAGATAATGTCTAGCAATGGCTCGTCTAGTTACTGTACCAGGAGCTGTGTGATCATAATGCAATTGAGAGGTTTTTTTACTAGAAATTTAAGAAATTATTCAGAATTTACAAGAATGAGAATGAAGCAGACTAAGAAATCTATAAATCCAGTGGCTGTGTCTCCATGTCCGAGGCTAGGTCAACCTTCATCCCATAACGAAGTTAATGCCACAACCGCACTTCTGTAACCTTTGAATTATCTATGTTCAAGACTGAAGAAAAATATTTTATGTTATTTTAAATAATTTATTTAGGAAATTATTTGTTTTTACTGAAATGTATGTGAAGATCATAACTCTACTTATCTACTCCTCTAATTAAAAAAGTCTTGTTCAAGTCTGTCAGTTTTACAGGATAAGGGGATTGTTTTGCCTTTCAAGGTCTCAGAAATGTTTCCCACCCTGGAATCTTGAAATCAGGAAAGAAGATAATGCCTGAATAAAACACTGAAAAATTTAAGTTTGGAAATCTTCTTCCCTAAGTAACCAGATTATTCAGACTAACTCTTTCTACCAAGTACATTTGAAGTCAGCAGGTCCGCATTTTTCAATGAAAATAATATTATTTGAAAATCCCTGGCTAAGGAACAGGTCTGCTTGGGAGAATGCTTGGGAAGCATCACACAGTTCTTCTGAAGTATCTGTTTCTTGTGCAAAACAAGAATATTATCATATGGCAAGTCCTGTGTTTTTATGGGTGATGAATAAAGAAATTCATCAATATGCTCACTGCTAACACACTCTGCTGACACCATAACAGCAAATTTGATTTGTGAAAATTTTTATTCTTATTTTAGCAGTGAAGAATTCATTTATAGGAATTGGACTGAGATCATCAGCTATTATAAAGCTGGCAAATCACGGTCAGTGGTAACAATATTTGTCTGTTGTGTGACTATGATATGAAAATTGTTTATTTTCAGGCCACCTCCAGAAAATCATCAGTTCAGTTTCCCAGCCTGTTCTATAGTAACATTCGAAAATCCCATGGAAAGATCAAAAGGACAGGGAGATCACATGCTTGCAGCTCTTCACCTTATTACTATCTTCTTCATTTATTTGATGTTGCTGCATTAATTCTGAATGGTCAAAATAATTTTAGCCCAGCTATGAAAATGTGTAAGACACATCGTGAGACATTTTTGCTGTGTTAATTGCAGATCCTACCTCTCCATGAGGTGTCTTTCTTCATTCAGATACTTACAAGGAGTTCTAATAGAAGCTGGATGTATTGGATGCATTTACCTTACATCTCTAATGACCTACACTCACTTAGACTTTCAGTTTCTCTCCTCTGGTATTACTTTCTGAGAAACTCTAAAGAGCAAACATGTAAAACAAAGACTCATAAGGAAACATTTCCTATTATTCACACAACGGAAGAATTCTTCCTACTTTTCTCCCCCACATTCAATTCACTTGAAGCCTCAGCTGGTGTTACTGATTTCTACAGCTGTGACAGGTTGTAAATTCTGATAACTTGTGATGTTTAAAGACTAGAAAAAGGGATGGACAGCACTGTGTAGGGCAGCCCCATTGCTAGTCACTAGCATAGACAACCCAAGAGACATGAGGGTTAGAGGTCATAAATTTACTTAAGTAAGCTGGAAGAATTCAGAGGTGGAATTTTGTCATTGCCATGATAATGAACACACCTGTTCCTTTGAGGACAGAAACTCTAAAAACAATCCCAGCTACAAAAATGAATGGAAGATACTTGGTTACATGTTATGTTTTTAACTTCTTGCTGATGCAGAAGGACCCAAGATCCCATTTTCTACTTACCTATTTTCGCAAGAGAGGCAAGAAGGATCCAAAGAGTAACTTCATAGGGAATTTGCACATAGGCATAGTCCACTGTGAAAACATGTAGCCTCGTATCTTGTGAAGAGCCAAGAGCATCCCCCTGATCAGGTTCATAGTGAGGCAAGAAACTGTTGCTCAAGTTGGGCTCATCCGCATAAGCAGTAGCAGAACAGCATACCAGGCTCGACAGCAAGAGCAACCAGTTCAAAAGCTTTGCATGTGCAAGTGTGACAGAGCCCATGTCTGCAGCTGTGACTATTTTATTACAGATATAGCGCGTAGTGGGTGCGTGAAGGTATGCAACACTCACTCCTGTTGGTTCGCACTGCTCATAGCCACGGCTGCTTCTTCCTCAGGGCTGCTTCATTTGCCTTTTAGATGTCGTTTTAAAAGCCCTGATGTGCCTGTCCTGTTCTTTGTATTACAGACTGACCTGGAGTTTGTATAAGGATACCGGTTCTGCAGGTTCTTTCAACCTAGATAAACCTGAGCCACAGCATCTCTCTGTTAAGGAATAAAGGCCCTCTCCAAGTATATTATTTATCCAGTCACTCTGATTTCTTCTTCCCACTATCAAAAAAAAAAAAAAATAAATAAAAAAAATTAGGCAGCACAAATAAATAGCATCAGGTGGGTGAGATGGTGGCACCCTGGGCACGCAGAAGAGTCCGCTCCATACCTTCCTCTCCTGTCCTCACTCCCTGTCTGCCTCCCCAGTGCAGTTGGCACCTCAGATACCACCACACCTGGCACTGCGCACTGGTCCTGTCTCACCTGGGAACAGAACTGCTTGGCGTGTAAATAAACGGGCTCTGCAGGGCTTACAGTAGGGACATCTGGTGGAGGACCACGCAAATTGCCTTCTTTTTTAGAAACTTGTTCTCTCCCTTAAACGCGTGAACGTAATTTAGCAGATAATAACAACAGAAAGAAAAAGGTCTGAGTCACATCACATGCCTAAAACTCTATCTTGAGTTGTCTTGTATTTGACATTTGTTTTACTCACGCCAGCAAGGCATTTACTGGACAACCACGTTATCCTCCTCCAACTCGACATTCACTGTTACAGAACATTTTTCTTTAAAAGGTCAGCCCCTTCTCTCCTCCACAAAAGCTAGCATGTTTCGTGTTAGGATAACAAAGTGTATGAACATAGTAGTTTTGACTAAAAGCTGCTAAAGCCTGTATTACATACATTATAGGTGAGTAAATTTAATTTACTGACAAATTACTCAAATTGCCACTGATTTGGTTGTGTTGGGAAACAGGGCAGACTAGTGGGAACAGAGATGTACCCCAGAACAACTAGTGATGAGGATCCCATATCCACACTGCATGTGTTTTGGAGGGGATTTTTTCAGACCAACTGGTCTCACAGACCAAGTGTCTCTTCAGGAGTGGAGAATATGCAGAAAGAGATCCAGTGTGTGCACCTGTGATGCTCTGTAGTGTGAAGCAAAAGGCAACAAGTAGTGGCAACTGGGAAATTTGCTTTTAAAGGTTATAATGATCTGAACTAAATCCCCACTGCAGGTGTCGAACTTTTCCATGATCCAGCCAGTGCTGCCATCTGATGTTCTGTTTCTACGTGAGGCATATCTTCTACTTCTGCTCCACAGCACCACCACCAGTCTCCCCACTGAAGGCTTTGGACCCAACACAAAATTAGGTAGATAATGCTCAGCCTGCTCGCAGAAGAGTTGGGTTGTTTGGTTTTTTTTCAGTATACTGGTTTTGTTAACAGTAGTGTTTCTTGAAGTCCCCTTCCAGCAAGAAATCTGGCAGATGAGCTATTCAATTAGCATTATGAAACAACTTTTTTTTTAACTTAAAGGCCAAATTAAGTCAGCAGAACACCAAATCAGTGTATCTCCTACTCAGATTTTCTTAACACTAACCACTGCATTTAACTTAACTATAGACTGCAAGATGCCTTGAAAGTAAGTGATGTGAACCCTGGAGAGTCAGCAGCCAGAGGACTAGAAAGGAAAGACTTCAAAGTCCCTGGAAGTCTACTAGCTGTGACAACCAGGACTTTTATTTACAACTGCAACACACCAATATCAAGAGATTCAATGGGACCCATGAGTGACCAGCACCAGACAGGACCAACAATATGCAGATGTGTCCATGTATGAAATGTTTCACAACTGGTAGGAATGCTTTCTCTCATTGCAGGAATGATGGAGGTGCCCTGACACAGTGCTGCTTCTTTTCTCAACCCCTTTGGCATACCCAGCAGTAGCAGTCTCCCATGGTACTTCCTTAGTGCTCCCACAGGAGGAGGTGAGTCGTCCAAAAGACTTTGGATTTGTCCCACTGGACTACACAGAAAAACTACACTGCAAACTTCCTCCAGAGTTCCCTTTTTAAATATTTTTCTAGAAAACAAATATAAAAATATTTTAGAAGAAATACAGTGCAAAGAACAAAGCATTCACATGTACGTCTCAACATCACAGCAAAATATAATAAATACAATAAAAATAGTACAGAAATAATAATTTATGAAAGACAGCTTACATTTACAGTTGTGTTCAGTGCCACATATTTTTACTGTGGGGCTGCAGCACTGTCTCACTGCAGTCCTTCTCACTGTTTTGGAGTGAGCTATTGCTGGCTGTAGTTGGAGTCCACAGTGGTCAGCCAGTGTAGAAAAGGTCCTTTACAGTCACGTCACCATTCCTGAGCCTGCTGTCACCCCTCTGTGAAATTTCTGCTATCGATATACCAGGCTGAATAACCTTAGGGAAAAGTCCTTTAGGCTCCAATTTCCCAACATTTTAGTACTTTTCACTGGCATGTGGTAACGCATATATTTCCAGAACTTGTTTGGAGCACCAGAAACAGAAGACTTCCAGGTAATGACTGGTAAAATCCGAAGAGCTTTCTTCACCACTGGAGGCAAAGTCTCTGGCTCTTGGAAAGCCTGGAACTTTATTAATACCAGCTTGATCTTTTTGTCTTCCAAGGCACAGTTCACCGCTGCCTGCAGTTCAAAGATGCTTGGCCCACTGACGTAGGCTGGGCTCAAAATAATTATTGCTCGTCTGCTTTGTTTAATAGCTGTAACAACTTCATCTGTGTATGCTGGAGAAGAGATGGCAACAATCACTACTGCATTCTATAATGGACTTTATACCTTATCAGTTCCTTTATTGACAGCTAAAAGCCAGAAATTAGGAAAACCAAAAATGGGGATGTTCAGCAATCACATAACCCCTATAAATGTGTTTGCTATCAGAGGGTGTCACAGTTGTTCTTGCGCAGCCTGGAGAATACAACTTGCTGCTCAGGAGGTAGAGGGCACAGCTGAGATCTAAACACACTTTATTGCTACTTGAACAGGGTCTCAGGGGGCACTTGGACTTGTCTTTTTCTCCCCAGGGACAGGTACTGAGGGCTTTCTAATTACTGCAGCTGGCATAGACTAAAGCAGCTCAGGAAGTAATTAGTGAAATATTTGTGGTCTTCTTTTCAGTGAACGAAGTCTGCTTGTAAAGAAATTCTTAAATGAGAAGCTTTATCTCAGCCTACTAGCTCCCAGAGACCACACTTGAACATACATCTAAGTATGCCTGAGGTGCAGGGGTCAGACATAAAGATCAAAATACCAATCATGAGATTTGAGCAGAAATTCCAGTACCAAAATATACCATTTGCTGATCTGGTGCATAATAGTTTTTGGAAAGTGAAAAACAATTTTATAAAAAACTGAAGATTTTTTACTATACACAGGGACCTTACCTCCTCCTGGAAGAATATCTCTTTCAAGAATGCATAACTTGTATCCATATTTAGTTTCCAGCATATCTGGAAGAAGCTCCAGGGCAAATTTTGCTTCACTAATTAAAGTAGAGTTACTTTCAGAAGAGTCTAGTTTTGCATACGACACAAATGCATCAAATTCTTTGCCATCTAAAATAAATAACACTGTATACATTAGCAAATCCATCTGAATCAGATTTGTCTGAAGCATTCAGCTTCTTTCTTAATGCTCGTTTTCCATTTATATGTATGATATAATCCAACAGGTGAGAACACATTCTATGGCCAATCCCCTCAGGCAGAAAAGTAATTGGATAGGCACAGTTGGTCTGCACACTCCATGCACCCACATTGCAAAGGTGCTGTGTTCACATGGTGCATGAGAGTCAGGGAGAAGGACAGAGGCTACCATGATGGAACCCAACTGTGTCTTCAACTTCTATGCACAAATCTTGGCAGGTCTTTCTTTGTCCTACTGACATATGGGGTGAGCTCTAAGGGGACTTTCCAGAGGTTCTTAAATCAATTTTTTACCAAATAGAGGGGAAATTTTGAGTGATTTCCCAAATCACTTTTGCCAGCTGCCTTAGGGCTCACAAAAATACTTTCCAAAAGGGCAGTTAATTGTCTTTCATTACGTATGTATTTATAGATACCTAGATACAGTTATTTCACACTTACGTACAATGTACATACACACATGCAAACACAAACGCAGACTCAGACACCTCTATCTCAAGCTGCATCAAGATTCAAGAATTTTTAGAAAAATTTCCTTGGTCACATACTACCAGGTTCTTTCATGTAAGAAAGTTATATGTTAAGCTCTTTGAAGTAGGCACAGTCATTTCTGATGCCTTTTCATACTGCCTACTATGTTGGAGACCCATTTTACCTGAGATGATGGGGTGATGCTACTATGAAGATTTGAAATATCAGAAGCTGATCACTGTGGTGTAAATGTCAGGCTAGTCAACATAATTTTTAGAAAGGAAATATGAATATTTCCCAAATGTACACTTCTCAGTTGGTACCTGTGTCATCTTATTTTTCTTCTTTATTTATTGTTCTGAGAAATTATCTGGCTTCAATTGAAAAATGCAATAAACTCTGGAGTTTTCTACTTAGTTCTGCAAGGACATTTGATTCTTGTCCACAGGTTCTGTTGAACACTTTGGGAGAATGAGGTTGAAATGTTGGAGAGGGTCTATTATTCCCTGAAAAGAGACTGCCAAAATTCAACTTCCTGCTCTAATCTTCCATGGTTTAATAAGGGATCTTGTAAAAGGCTAACTGTGACATTTCAGTTGGTGTTACATACTTCCTCAACACTGCCTGGCTTTTTTTCCATCTGAATCCACTGGGCATCTTGCTAGCTTTAACAGCCTTTATATCAGCTCAAAGAGAGCAGGGTCAGTAAGAGAATTTAATTAAATGGTTAATTCCCACAGATTAACCACACGGCAAAAGGAAGTAATAAAACCGAATAAAAGTAACATCATGCAATATTTCTTACCTCCTGTAGTTTCATTGTGGACCAAATAACTTCGGTACATCAGCACTATTTCAATCCAGTGCTGGTAAACAAAGGCAGCGCACAAAAGTAATGCAAATAGGATAGAAATGGCACTGCATAGGACATGTAAGAGAAACACTGTAGAAAGAAAAGAGTCTATCATAACTCAGGCTTTACAAAATAATGTTGACACTCTAGATGAAAATCTCAGTCCAAAAATGGGGGCAAACCATCTCACAATCTTCTTTCTTACACTACTGGCAAACCTTAGGGAAGCCAGGAAGTCATTTAGGTGCAAACCTTAACAGAGTTTCAGTCTACCATCAGGGATCTTTTTTGAATAGAATCTCCTCGATCGTATGAAAAGCTAATCTGTGATGGAAAGCACATAGAGAACGGTCTATGGCACACTCAGCAGGGCTGAAAGTAGTCATTGCTTGAGTTGGAAATGTCACATCAGAACACACAGCTGCACACAGTGTCCTGCTGGAGACTTCCTGTGTTACTTTAATGATGAATTTCCATTATAAATTATGGTTCAGTGTTTTAATTTCAACATTGATTCTGGTTTTGGTCTTTGCTTGAAAGGCTGCCACATTCATCAGTTATGGTAACTTCTCAGAAACATGCAGGCTAAGGACTGGGAAAACAAACAGAAAAAAATCAAAGGAATACTATTGCTTTCAGCAGCTGCACTGATTCAGTTTAGTAGACTGACTATTAATGTTGAGAAATCCTACTCTTCTTCCTCCCACTCACTCTCCAGCTTCCACTTGGCTCACTTGCCTGCAGTAAGTCCCCAGACAGCCCTGTCATTCTGAGTAGTCCTCAGAATAATGTGCCTTTCTAGACATTTGGCAAATCAAACTTCTCCCATCCAGCTTGAAGAGATGTCTGCAGCTGGCTAGAGTGTCAATGAGAAATGAATTTGTAGCAGTGAGTAAATCAAAATGTGTCTTCAAGGGCAAATAGTCATCCATCTATAGTTTTACCTCTCTGCTTTCTTTTCAGCTGGATCACAGCTGTGGCATTCCCCACTGAATTCTCAGCAAAGCATGTGAAGTTGCTTCCGAGGTCCCTTTCAGTAACTTCTTTCAGTTTTGCAACATGAAGAAGTGTGTGCCCCTTTAAACCTGCTGGATAAACACTACAGAGAGAAAAATATGTATTTGTGTGATACCTTTGCTGCTTATACATACAATCCTCAAAGGTCTTAAACACAAAGAAAGGGGAGTTTGCAACTTCTTAACATTCATCTTGAACTTTTAACAATGATGTGATATTCTGGTTTGGACCTTCATTTGTTTTTTACATTGTAAAAAAATAATCAAAAGTCTGCAGACTGAGAGGTTTATTCTTACTTCATCCACTCAAAAAAATACTTATGCACTTGCCTAGTTTTAAATATATAGCCCTTTTTGACTTCTCTATGATTATTTGTGGTTTTCTAAGATGTAAAAAAAAATTCTCAGGGTAAAATTGGAGAGAAATGAAACTTCAAAAGGAGCCACAAAAGAGAACTAGACGGGCAAAAAGACTGAGCAGCATAGCCTTTCTCACAGGGGTAAAAAGCCCAAGGACAGGAGAGGCAAACAGCATCAGGGGCAGAAGTATGGGAAATGAAGAGGTAACAGAGGAATGCCTTTGGGGCTGAGTGCGGGTTGTATGGAACAGATCTGTGTTTCAACCACTCTAGAACCCAGGGTTTCTGTGTTTCAGCATGTGTCTTTGAAAAACACAAGTATGGGCATCTCTTTGGTGGTCCTGAAGGCACATCCATCTTGCCACTGCAAAATGAGAGTCTACCATTGCACTACTTCTGCTAACTAAAGATACACAGGCATGAGCATGGGCAAGGATTCAACCTGTACTGAGCGTCTGTTGGGAATGTTTTATTCATTTGGATTTTTAAAATCAAACAAATTGTAGGTGTGCAAAAAGCTCAAAAGCTGGTAAGAAGAACATTACAAAGCTAAACATTGAAAAGTTAGGAAAATCCAATTTCCAATCTTCCCCATGAGTGATTGAGTATGTGTGAGTGAATGTGTGTGTGTGATATCATAATTTGTTACTTTTTTCCCCGTGTGACTCCTGTTAAGAACTGGATTTTAGCAGTGGCAGCAGGCCTTTGCTTCCATTGGTGTACAGAAAAGTGTCCCCATAAAGATGACTCAGGGCTTTGTAGTGAAAGATACACTCGCCTGTGTTGTCTCCACTGTTTCTTGCCCAAGTTGGACATTGCACAAGTGAATGATACACGGAAGTGCAGGAAGGAAAGGGAAGTACAGTGGCTATATGGGTTGTCACCAAGTCCCAGAAAACCTTTCCCCTGCATGTTGCTTTTCTACAAGGTCTGATTAATTCTTGCCAGGGGAGAATCCTGAAATTCAGTGTCCTGAAATTCAGCCCTCAGACTGACTCAATAAACACACCCCAATGTCTGAGGCACCCAAACTCCTTTCGATGTCCACAGTACTGTTTTACTGATGTGGTTTATTCCCCATTCAGAAACAGCTTCCAAAGACAGATTGTGTGAGTTGCTGGCAAGGTATGACAGAGGGAATACTTGAAAAGAGCTGATACAGTGCAGGCAACCAAGTGCCACTCATGCTGAAGCTGTACATAAGCTAAAGCTTTAGGAAGAAGAGTTAAGATTGCACAGAAAGTTTGAGTTCTTCACTTTATGGTCATCAGTATGTGCTTTTGTAAGTAAGTGAAGTGCATGTGCCTGTCACATGCTCATGAACATGCATATTAATAAATTGAAGAACAGAGCCTTCTGAGTTTTATTCAGTAAGATGTATTCAGCAAAGTTTCCGTAGAAGGATTTTTACAGCTGCTGACTTCAGTAGTAATCAGACTACTGGAATTTTTCTTACCTTGTTTCCTGACTCAATTTCTCATTTATATTTTCTTTGTTGTTTCTTTTCCATGTTACCCTCCTCAGAGAAGATCTTTCAAACCCAAACTGCACACGGCATTCCAATTCAAGTGGCTTTCCTGGAACAAATTAAGACAGGAAAACCATGCGTGTAGGTTACCAGAATATTTTTCTCTTAAATAGCCTGGCATCTGTATAACACATGATGCTTTCTTTAATATCCACAAAGATATATACCAAGCAAAAACATACATTTTGTATAAAATTCTCATGCTCCTGGAAGGCAAAGCTGTTTTGCTTCACCAAGATCTATCATTACCTATTAATACCTCATTTAAACATTTTTTTTTTACTTTCAGATAAGGAATCAAAACTCACCAAGCTCTGCTTCGAGGATCACCACACCATTGGGATACAAGAAGTTGGGTGGATGGATAGTGTTTTTTGCTGCAATTAACAGGAGTAGTGTTAATAACTACGATGTTATCATCAGTGCAGAAGACCAGAGAAAACATCTTACAGAATTTTCTTTTTAGGCACCTAAGTTCGAGTGGGTGATTTACAGTTGTTGAGAGTGCACAGACAGGGGAGTTTTGCCCACAAAACTTATATAGCTACATAAAGACCAGCTCTCTCAGTTACTCTGAGGCATTGTAGCCTGCACTTAAGGTTATTTAGAACTCGGAAATCAGGGGCTCCCCTTGCAAAACCCCCTGAAGGAGTTCTGTGCCAAGCCCCATTCCATTAAGCACACAGAGAGCACAAAGTCACTCACCAGCACAGATACTTGCATTAAAATAACCTTTTCTTTTTTTTTTTTTTTTTTTTCAAAACAAGGGCTGCCAAAGGTCACAGATAATGGCACCCACAGTTCATACAAGCTACTAAGCAATTACCCAGCCTCCGGAAAAACAACCTGAAGGTGTTAAAACCCACAGCTCTGATATTCTAGGAAAGTCCCATCCTGCAGGAAATGGGGCCACATAACACTATTTCTTTTTAAACCAAGCCACAGCAGAGAAATGTATGCAAGATTCAGGGTGTTTATATATGCATATGGCACCTTTCAAGTGTTTTTCTGATTGTGCTGTAAAGTGAGGGAAAAGGACTGAGAAGCACAGTACATTAGCTCAGGTTTAGTGAGATCAGAAAAAAAAAGAGATCTATTCCATGACTGTTTGGAAAATATTTCAGGAGTATAGCTGGAGAAAGGAGTGAAAAAGCATTGTAACCCAGCACACAGAGGTCTCAAAATCTGGTGAAGCATGGTTTCCAGGCCTTGTTCTGGTGGGATGTATATATTTTTTCCATTACTTCTTAGTACCTAATACATCAAACATCTGCAAAAAAAGGAACAGCTATTTTGAAGGAGTGCTGTCCTCACTAGGCCATAGAACCAGGTTGCCTCCCCTGAAACCTTTCTTTTGCTCCCTAAATCTTGTTCTCCCTTCCACAGAGTGGCCCACTTTCCACCAGGATGCTGAGAATGGGTCCTGTGCTGTTATACAAAAACAGCTGTACTGTGTCCATCCAGCTCAGGATATAGAATAGATGTACCTATACCTTCCTCTAGGACCTCTGATTGACTGGAGTGACTGGAGTGTCTGAAAAGAGTGCCTTACAGCACTCAAACACAGGTATCTGGAGAAAAGTATAACCAAGTATCTCTTTTAGCAAACTAAAAAATCTCCCTTATTTGTGATCCCGAGTTTCAAGCATGCTCCCTTGTTGACATTGTCCAACAGCACTCAGGCAATATCTGCACTTCATCCGAAGGGTAGGAGAAGACAGTAAATATTATGGAAGAGATCACCATGATTTGAAGGAGAATATAAAGCCATGCCATATCAAATTGCCATAGAGTTCCGGATTAGCATTCTTTGGCACCCATTGAAGTTTCATGAATTCTACTCCCAGATCAAGACATCTAAATCCATTTGTAGACTCAGTCTACGCTGTTGGGAACCACAAGAAATCCAAGGTGGATCTAGTGAAAATCATGGCATTTTATGCCACGTTATTACTGAACAGCTTACAAGGATGCCAGAGAGGGACTCTTCGTCAGGGACTGTAGTGACAGGACACAGAGTAATGGGTTCAAATTTAAACAGAGGAGATTTAGAGTGGATATGAGGAGGAAATTCTTTACTGTGAGAGGTGGTGAGGCACTGGAACAGGCTACCCAAGGAAGCTGTGAATGCTCCATCCCTGACAGTGTTCAAGGCCAGGTTGGGTGGGGTTTTGAGCAACCTGGTCTAGTGGAAAGCATCCTTGCCCACGGCAGGGGGGTTGGAACTACATGATCTTAAGGTCTTTTCCAACCCAAACCATTCTATGATTCTATAATTCAAGGTTCTAGTCAAGACATCCTCAGAATACCTGGAAGAGGATTTTAATGATCATGTAGCAAATTCAGTTTATGGAGTTTTCAGAACAACAGCCTGACTTGTGCAAAGCATTCAACACTGTCCCACATGACACCCTTGTCTCTAAATTGGAGAGACATCAACTTGATGGATGGACCACTCAGTGGACAAAGAACTGGCTGGATGGCCGCATGCAAAGAGTTGTGGTCAACGGTTCAATGTCCACGTGGATACCAGTGATGAGTGGTGTCCCTCAGGGATCGGTGTTGGGACCTGTGTTGTTCAACATCTTTGTCGGTGACATGAACAATGGAATTGAGTGTGCCCTCAGCAAGTTTGCCGATGACACCAAGCTGTGTGGCTCGGTTGATACGCTGGAGGGAAGGGATGTCATCCAGAGGGACCTGGACACGCTTGTGGGGTGGGCTGATGCCAACCTCATGAAGTTTAACCAAGATAAATGCAAGGTCCTACACCTGGGTTGGCACAACCCCAGGCACAGCTACAGGCTGGGCAAAGAAGAGATTCAAGGCAGCCCTGCAGAGGACGACTTGGGGGTGGTGGTGAATGAGAAGCTTGACATGAGCTAGCTTCAGTGTGTGCTTGCAGCCCAGAAACCAACCATATCCTGGGCTGCAGCAAAAGAAGCATGACCAGCAGGTCAAAGGAGGTGATCCTGCCCCTCTATTCTGCTCTTGTGAGACCTCACTTGGAGTATTGTGTACAGTTCTGGTGTCCTCAACATCAAAAGGACATGGATCCTTGGAGCAAGTCCAGAGGAGGGCCACGAGGATGAAAAGAGGGCTGGAGCACCTCCCGTATGAAGACAGGCTGAAAAAGTTGGGGCTGTTCAGCCTGGAGAAGAGAAGACTGCGTGGAGACCTCATAGCAGCCTTCCAATATCTGAAGGGGGCCTACAAGGATGCAGGGGAGGGACTCTTCATTAGGGAGTGTAGTGGTAGGACAAGCGGTAGTGGCTTAAAACTTAAACAGGGGAACTTTAGATTAGATATAAGGAAGAAGTTCTTCACAGTGAGGGTGGTGAAGCACTGGAATAGGTTGCCCAAGGAAGTTGTGAATGCTCCAACCCTGGAGGTGTTCAAGGCCAGGTTGGACAGAGCCTTGGGCAACATAGTTTAGTGTGTGGGGTCCCTGCTCATAGCAGGGGGGTTGAAACTAGATGATCTTAAGGTCCTTTCCAACCCTAATTAGTCTATGGTTCTATGAAAAGACTTAAAGAGGGTAGGAAAGAATAGAGAAAACAGACTTTACTTTGGGTATTTTATTCTGAGGTATTATATTACTCACCGATGACTTCTACTGTAACTGTTGTTCTCATTGTCCACTTGGTAGTGTTGTCATATAGAACATAATCACACACATATATTCCAGCGTCTTTGTCATAGGTTGGATTCAAGTGGATTTCATTATGCTTAAGCTTTAGGCTTTTTCTGGTTTTCCTATGTTTTATCTGATGACCATCCTTAAAAAAAAAACAAAACCAAAAACATAAAAAAGTAATATCAAGGAATTAGAAGTCCTTTTTTTTGTTGTTGTTGCTGCTATTAAATTAGATTTTAGGGTATTTGGATAGGATTACCATGGCAGTAAAGCTAAGCCAAACTCATTACACTGAATCACAAAAAAAGGTTTATTAGGAATCTGAGGACATTTGTCAGTTATATTAAAAAAAAAATTGGTCTATAATATGCAATTATCATTAAAAAAATATTTTACATTTCTGATCGCTGAGAAAAATGTGAAATTATGAAACTAATCTAAATTAAACTATTGCTAAAGAGCAACAAAAAGGATCACTTTTTTTATGGACTGGATTTTTTTCTTTGTAAATAAATTCTTTTGAAAAGATTTTCGTGTTCTTTTATGAGAAATAAATCATGGATTTGGATTGTCTGAGATTGACAACACTGTCACTATTTAAAAGATCAAAACGTGTGATTTTTGAAAAAGCACCCCTATTTTTCAACTTAGTGTATTCATAGTCTCTAAGACCACTAAGAATTTTCATTAACACAAATTCTTGAAAAAAATCCACTGGAGAGGAAGCATTTCTACGCTTCTCTTTCATTAAATGATATTTTTGATGTGGCAAATTTCTTCAAAACTTTTACATACAGACTTGATATACAGCAATTCAAGATTCTACTTTTGGGTTTAATTTTTCAGGCTGCATTGTCTGCTAAAGAAGAATTCAAAAACCATGAACATGAGCATTAACTAGACCACTGAGCTTTTTTGAATGCTCAAGACTGATTCTTACCTTGTACCATTTTACATCTGTTTTTTTTATATGGCTGTAGCATTTTGTCCCAGGACAAATTATTGAATTCCCATTGCCAGCACGAAGATAGACCGTGTTTGTGTCATAAGCTGAACATTTTGCTACCTTTTTTGTTTGAACCTCCAAAACAATTTTGAGACATGGGATTTTTTCCCTGAGTGATGCAGGAAAAGGAGTTAAACATTGAATACACAAAACAAAGCAAAACAAAACAATTACTTTTTGTATAGAAACAAAAGCCTTTTGTTCCATTACGTACCATATCACACAGATGAACACTCCAGAATCACTGTCCCTTACTGGTTTAAACCAAAGTGCATCCCCTTGGAGAGCAGGATTAGAGCTTTCCTTGATAGCCTTCAGTGGCTCTTTGTCTTTTTGCCAGAACCACTTCACCTTATGTTGTTTTAGAAGTGAGTTGTTGTTATAAATGTGGGTAGCATCTCTATCTGGTAAAGCACATTGTAAAACAAATTCCTCACCACTAATTGCACGATACCATATTTGAGGTTCAACATGGGAACATCCTGAAAAGCAGGACAATAAAGTATCAGTACCACCCAAAAGAACACACAGTCATCATGTTTTAAAAATGTAATTAGGAATACTACAAAAATACAACTTTACTTTTCTTCTTGGATAATAATTTTATGTGACCAGATGCTGGACTAATAGAGAATTGATTTCCTTAAACATGAAATTTGCCAGTGATTTCAAAAGTTCATTCAAAGGTTTCCAGAGGTTTTCAGACCTTTTTTAAAAGCCTAATGTGAAAATAGCTTGAGATTTTTAGTGAACTGAAGATTTTCACATGGGTGCTAACCTGTTAAATCTCAACTCTGTAGAAAAACAGATGCAGCTTTTCTAGCTCTCCGCATCTTAATGGAGAAGGGACTAACATAAGCCTGAAGAAGCAGAGCGTGCTCACCATACTCCCTATTTTGGGTAAGACTGACTATTATTATTGTCATGCTGTTTTCAAAACTTTCCCCTCTTGTGTTTCAGCTACTGTCACTAAAATTAAACAAATTTTTGGATTCTGAAAGCTGTGGTCAACTACCCCCAAATTCTCTGAAGGCTGACTGACTTTGCTGCTTAACCCCTCCAGCCTGTCAGGATGTGGTAGCCCTTGAGAATATGGCAGGATTTCACTTCAGTAGAAGGGACAGCATGAAATCTTCAGTTCCTCGCCTGCCCACCTGGGAGGCTCTGTTTCGGTTTCTCTCTGTGAACTGAATTGGATCAAGCTCCTCCAGATAAATTGTATGGGCTTGGACCAGCTGCTGGAGACTTCAGGGAGTCACAGAAGCAATTCATTCGCTCCATTCGGTTCTCAGAAATCCTCCTTTACATTTGCCCTTTTCTTTTCATTAGGGAACTGATTTTTGAATCCTACTTACAGTGAACTGTATTACCAACACTTAAAAAGTTTACAGAAGGGTTAGAAACAGCTGTTTGCCTTACATGAGTATAAACAGGTGCAGAGAAAAGTCATGAAGGCATGGCAAAATGCAGATTCACTTTTCTCAGCTGTCAGAAAGCACCATGAACCCCAAACTTCACTGAAGCAGCCTCTTACCTAGCAGGTTAGTCTCTCTAACTTCTGCCCCATTGACAAACAATGCTAGGATCCAGCAAAAAGTGAGCATGATTTTCTTTATCAATTTTGGTTGATATTCTGAAATATTTTCTTTAAGAATCATCTTGCTTTCTGTAAAAGAGGAAGACATTTATTTTTTTGCAAATAATACTCCAGTAACATAGATAGGCAATTACATATCTTATTATGTAGCTCTATAAAAATTACAGACAGGATTTTCTAGATATTGTGCCTTTTTAAAAGGGGTTTGCAGCACTCTTCCTGCTCATATGATTTCACACAAATGCAGGATAGATGATATTCAAGAATATGCAACATCCTTTTTAAATCTACTTTGCATAGAATTGCTTACGGATGGATTTCCAAGTTTGCAGCAATGCAGAGCTCCACATCTGGAGTGGAAATGCAGGTCTTTCAACAGCTGCTGCTGTTAGAAGAGGAACCTGTCCTTTAGGATGGTAGATAAGATACCAAATAACAAAATCAGTCTTTAGCTAATGACAGCTATCACCAACAGACCAAGGCAGGCGTAACTGCCAAAACCCATCGAGCTCTGCTTTATCTTGAAGGCCAACAGGCTGAATATGTAAACCGGATTCCTTTGGGATTACCCAATCTAAAGATGCGTTGCAGCTATAACTTGTATTGAGTCCATGAGACTGGAGCTGAGCTATGCAGAAGCCTTAAAAATGTGTACTGTATGGATGCCAGGTCTTTCGTTCCAACTCGTTCACTCAAGAGACATGCTCCTATTGGGCTTTATTACCAGCAAAACCAGATATACCATAAGATGTCCATTAGGGTCAGCAACGCAAGCTTAAAACCCCTCTTCTCCTCTATGACTTACTTGTGTGTGCAGCATCAGGCCTCACTTCTGCACCACAGTGCTGTGTTGCGCTGCCTGAATGATCCTAGCGGAGACCTGCTGGATAGGGTAGCACCCACACCATCATAACGTATCAGCTCTGTGGCATGCTATCTCTTAGCTGAGACCAGGAACACCCAGGGAATTTGGGAGCAGGACCCCAAAGCACTCAGCTGCACCCAGACCCCTATATTACAGCACCTTGTCCAAAGTGAAACCCCAAACACTATTGCATGAAGTGTTTTGTCTGAGGTTTCATCTGTGTCTCATAGCCTTCTCAACCACACGGCTAGAGGGAAGACAGGCTGTCAAGCATGCATATTCAACAGCCATGGCTTAGTTTGCATATTTAGTAAGAACTTATCTAATGCCTGTGGTTGACATGTCCGGAGTGCCTGATTCAGGAATAAAGGCCATGTGCTTTGCTGATGTTCATGTTACGGAACTGAGACCTCAAGGACCTTTTTCCTTTGCATGTTTCGCCTCAGAGTGACTCTGCACTTGCACATCTACCAGAGAGGCACTGAGTCAGCCCAAGAGAAAAAAAGAAAACTCGGGCAAAGACTAGTCCCTTGTCTGTTGGCACCTCATGCAAATTAGACACCACTCATACAGGCAGGCAGGCAGCAAGAGAGCATCTAGTGCACACTGAGCTAACAAAAGACGTGAAGAGAACTCCCACTCTGCACTTTTTCAGGCAACTGTTCTGTGTAGAGAGGAATACTTTAGTCATCATTCTCTTCAGCATGTCTCTATTCTTTGCAAGTGAATGGAATGATCTATTTTTACACTCAGAGGTCACACAGAGTGGGTTAACTCACTTGTCTTAATGCATCCTGGTGCTTTGTTACAGATTGGCTGCCACCAACTGTCATCAACCCATTCATCTTTCAAAATCATCCTGAAACTCCAGACCAATACATATGTCTGAACAAAGAGACGGTTTCCTAGCAGCACTGGGCAAAAGCCCTCCTAAACTTTAAGAAGGTTTATCCACTGTAAAAGGATCAATGGATCCTTACTCTTGAATCTGTGTTTATGACAGCTGTAAAGACCTCTCTCAGGGCATTCATTAGGGCTTCATCTCTACTCCTATTAATACCGTGTGAAAGAAAGGATGAGTTATGTCACTCAACAGCCCATGTGGCAAAGACATTGTCATGGTTTAAACCCAATCATCAACATAAGTACCATGCAGCTACTGGCTCACACTCCCCTGCCCCAGTGAGATGGGAAGCAGAATCAGAAGGTGGTAAAACCCATGGGTTGAGGTAAGAACAGTTTAATAACTGAAATAAAGTAAAATATTATAATTATAACAATAATAATAGGAAGTGGAAAGAGAGAAATAAAACCCTATAAAGACAAGTGATGCACAATACAAGCGTTCACTACCCACTGACTGATGTCCAGTTGACCCTTTGACACCCCTGAACAGTGATCCATGGCTCCTGACCTACTCCCCAGAGTCTGTACACCGAGTATGACATTTTGTGGTATGGAATACCCCTTTGGCTAGTTTGGTCAGGTGTCCTGTCTTTGCTCCCTCCCAGCTTCTACTGCTCCTCCTCAATGACAGAACACGGGACACTGAAAAGTCCTTGATCAGGGTAGGTTTTACTTAGCAACAACTAAAACATTGGTGTGTTATCAACATCATTGTCCCACTAAATCCAAAACACAGGAGCATACCAGCTGGTAAGAAAAAAAATAGCTCTATCCCAGCCAAAACCAAGACAGGCATACTGGTGTTGGTAGCAAACAGGACCAAAGGGCCTTGTGTGTGTGATTCAGTGTCCCAGGTGAGCTGATGCAATCAGTCAGTGTTGTCAAAAGGGGAAGGTCTCATATATCTCTTTGTCCTCCCCACTCCCAGGCAAATGAGCCAGGCCCTCTCCTGTGACAGCTCCAGTCCTTTCTGGTGACTCATTCAATCTGCAAAGCCATCAGAAGTCACCTGAGAAATGCCTGACATGGCACAAGATTGGCAGTGGAAGCATTTACTTCCCAGCTGCCCATGTGTCTGGGGACACACAGGCTACGTGTAGCAAAACAAGTGACCATTCACAACGCATTTAATAATGCAGTGATGTATAATCTCTCTGCTCTCCAGTATTACCATGCTAACAACATTCTCTTCAAGCTCAAAACGTCAACATGAAAGCGGAAGAAGTGTGAAAGGGAGGGTTAGCTAATGAATGTTATAGCTTTGGTTAGCAATCTGTATAATTTTCAGTTGTCTTCTGCTAGCCATGGGAAAATACACCATTGCCATTTTTTTTTGCTAACTGACGACACTTTTATTAGAGAACCTTGGAATCTTTGAATTTTTATAGTGCTTAAGAAGTACAGTAGCGCGTGAGATTAAGAAGTGGTGTCTTGCAAATGTGTTTGACAGGAGGAGAAATTCATAGCAGAAGTAGACAGCAATTACCAAAGGCGGGGTACCTGAAGCAAGATAATCTTAAACTGACCATCCAGTGCACTGCACAGGGTCTCAGGATGAATCAGTGACTAGATATATTCAGTGACTCATTTTATTTTGGTCAGTATCTGCAAGAAAAAGAAAGCACTCTACTCTGGGCAACATATTACCAAGAGTCTCTCCACCTTCTCCTGTCATGTACCCACCCATACTACTGTATCCTTAGTCTAGGGATTTAGGACACCATTTAGCTGGAAACTGATATACAAAGGAAACTAATGCGGTCTTAACATAACTTCCTGTGGTAAAAAAATGTACAAGAGAAGAATAAGAATGGTATTATTTTGCCTATGTTTAAACTCTAAAAGGACTCTCACAAAAAACCCCAATAAATCTCCATGTCATAGCATTTTGTGTGTATTTACATAAAATATAAGCACAAGAAATCAAAATCAGTTTCTTGATAGCTGCACCAAGTTTCATGATACCTCTGAAGTCTAGTAAAGAGTGGCATGCCACAATCTTACTATCTACTATTCACATTCTGATGAAAATCACTTCATTCAGCATCAGAGCTACCAACTCCTGTGTCTTGTATTGAATTTATATCAGTGGAAAACCAAACATAATCTGAATCTAGAAGTAAGATTAGTAATAATCACACAGAAAAAACCTTCACCGTACCTATAAAGGAAAAAAACCCTAACCCTACTGAAGCTACTTACTGAGACACTACCATTTTGTCTGACCAAGCAATTAAAACTGATTTACTTAAAAATACACATTCAAAGACAATAAATCAACTCACCTGTGAAGTAGATGGGGTAGGGTAAAATCTGAAGATAAAAGCTATAATTTTAAAAAAAATATATTATCTGAAAATCTCACCTGCACATCCTACACCATGTGGTAAAAATGTGGTTAGTTCTATCTGTGCACTGTTGAGTTTGTTTCCTTTACAGGAATTTCCTCTACCTCACTGTCATCATCCCTTCCTTTCTCAGTTTAGTTCTGTTAGGTTCAAAATTTCCGGGTAGTTTTCTTGTAAAAAGAACAGGGGAAAAATTTTGCCCTTAGTTAAAAAAATCAAAGCCTTTTGGGTTCTAAAATTTTATATTTGCATTGTGTGTAAAATGCATTGGACTTTTTAATTTGCTTCATTTAAGAGGAAGAAGGGTAAAAGTTTATCTCAGGTTTTTGCCCAAATGTTGATACTAGGTGGTTCAAAACAAAAATGTGTAATATCTGAAATCTACAAAACAACCACAATTCTGAATAATATTCACTATAAGAGCCAAGTTCTCCTTATCCTTAGCCTCCTCAGCTACTTTCCACACCCACTGAAAGCTGGCACTACAAGGAGGCTGTGACGCACTATTACTTTCTATCTGTGTCCTCCCAATTAAGCCTTGTTGGTTACCCCAGCCATAGCTTTGGCAAAAAGAGAAGAGAATCCCGAATCTATCTGGAATATCTGTGACTTGTCCCTTGACCCACTAAGCAGCAGAGCATTCAGCATATACGGTCTCACACAGCCCCTCTTCCAGGCTTCCTGTATGGATGTGAAACCCCTAAAAGACAGGCTGCACGGTGACTCAAACTACATAAAAGCATCTACAAGCACCTTGTCATCAACTCAGACCCCAGTTCTTCCTATTCTAGTAGAGGTTATGTAAAATATATAGGTCCAGCAGTTTGTACCAGACTTATTTCAAGAACAGTAAGACATGTTTCTTCTTTTCTTGTGTGAAATTCACTCTCCTTAATGTAAATTGGGTCAATTACTCTATTTCCACAAGAAGCTGAAACAGGCATTTTGCTCTGTAAGAGGATTTCAATGTTGCCTCTGTTTATATACCTATTCCTTTCTGCAATGACCAATATAAGTGCTTGATTCTGTTGGGTTCTGAGCATTTGGAGATACAAGATTTGTATTCTCAGCTTCCACCATGTATTTAGCTCTCTGTTCTTTCCAGAACAAAGCCCATTGATAATTAAGAGTGGAGACCATCTCCGAAAATGCTTTCAGTGTTTTGCCCCAATACTAAATATATGTCTGGTTTATAAGTTACAAAATGCTCCAATATTTATCTGCAGATTTCACTATAAAGAGTTCAGCTTTTTGAAGAGTTCTTCTTTCTGCCTAGAAAAAGAAGCATTTTATTTTCCTCTTCCCTCGAAGGAATTAGAGAGTGCAACACAGATAAAGTCAAGCTATGCTGCTTTTAAGCCATTGCTCAGACTATCAGAGAGAAAAGATAGTTCTTTCCCAAAGACTTATCTTATAGGCACAAAATGTGTCTACTAGTTCATTTTAAGTCCCAATTGTTGTACTGTCAAAGTAATGGATTTATTGCATTCAAAAAAATAAGTAGAGCAGTCCAACTTTTGTAACAGATCTTTGAAATACAACAGAAGCACCAGTCACAAAGTTTTAAAAACCATGCTGCCAAAAGACTGAGTGGTATGTCATACTGGTTACTGCACTGGATGAAAATCTTATCAAATAGTACCAAATAGTTGGCTGAGCCTCTGTTCCAATTCACCCTTTCCTCTTTTTAAAAAGTGATATATATGCTAAAAAGCAGCCTTACTTCCCGGGTTCGTACTTATCCTTTGCTGCTAGAGCAAGTTTATAAAGAAAAGGGTAAAGAACCATTCCAGAGTACCCTCCCTGTTTCCTTTCTCTCCCCTCCCTCTCCACTCATACACAGATAGCATATTTGATATTTGATGCTATAGCTCCAGGAAATTGTGCCTCCTCACCCCTGTGGAAAGTCAGTCTTACCTTGTCCATCTCACTTTCACTCAAGCATTTTGCCAGCCAAGAGAAAATGAGGGGAAATGCACCATCTCATTAGTGCATTTAATGTAGTCTTATGGTGCTGGGAGGTTACATCTCTTTAGTATTCTGGTACTATTCTGGCTTGAAATATTTACATGTCACCTCCTCCTCTGCCCAGCTATGGTTAACACCAAGTGGGTAAGAAATTTTCCGTTCCAATTATCTCCTACACTGAGTCAGTGATGTTGATTCTGCTGTCACAGGAGGTGTCTGAGCAATGTCTAAACATGAACCTCTATCCATTTTGTATTAGGTTATACAGTCAGGGAAATATAGTCAAGGGTAGTTTATAGAGCAGTGGGGTAACTCACCTATTACTCCTCTGTGAAACAGGGGAAGATGGTGTTATTTAGTACCAATTTGCTGTACTACAGTGTATTCTGCCTTAGGCATCAGGACGTAATATGGCTAGTGCCACAGAAGTGCTGTGGATGTACTAGTAACTGAATAGATCACTTGCCAATAGAGGAAGAGCAAAGCAAATTGTCATGACCCAGGCCTTTGAAATCTCTTCACTCTCTCAATCTTTAGCAATTAGTTAGAATAGATTGTCAGACTGTCTTGCACCTCAAATTCCATGGTGATCCTTTCTTGCCTTCCTTGATAGTCTAGCCTGCTTACTGCAGCCAAAAACCATAAAACTGTCAAGGATGACCATTGCTGTATTAGGCGTTCTTTTTCAGAAACTTACTGTGCCCCAGCACAGAAGTATGTCAGAATAGTTTCCCCATTACTCCCATAGGACACCTTACTGTTCGAATGGCTTTAATGCCAATCGTAAATTTATTCACAGCCACATCTCCTTGTGTGAATACTGCTTCTTAGCTTAAACAGCTCTTCCTTCTAGTGATTTTTCTTTTTCTGTATGCATTTGTTGGCCATGCTTCTACTCCTTTCCCTGCTCATTTTACCAGCCTAAACGATTTAAACTCTTCTAGGATCCCTTCACACAGTTCTGGTGATCCTCATGGCTCTGACTCGCAGGTCTCAAGGTCTCACTTCATGGGCAGCACTTCACAGGTATTTGCACTGTATTGTTTGAGTCTCCTTCATCTTGCTATCAGCTGGCAACAATCCTGAGGTTCTCAAAAGATTTCAATTCCAAAGTATAAGTTCCCTCCTTGTAGCTAAATTTTTGCTGCTAGTTCCCAAAGGATATATAGTATCTAATGATGTAAAAGTTGCCTCTTCTATGCAAGCTAAACCATAGCCTTCTCTAAAAAGAATTTTTTTTTCTTTCTCTGAGAAAACAAAACAGAAAAGGGCAACTTTTAACATGTAAGCACAGTTCTAGAGCAACCTTCCAGGCCAGACTCACAAGTCTATACCCGCTAATCTTTATTTCTTGATGTTTTTTTAAAATACTAAGACATCAATCTACCGATTTCTGGATGTGACACACAGAATTCTAGACCATCCTTCTCAAATCAGGTGTATTTCCTTTAGGACATGTCCAGCATACACTAATTCGGCACTCCAATTATGTTCTCATGTACTCTGAGAAGGTAACAAAGCTCCTCCACTACAGCTGCGTGAATTAAGTATCAGTATCAAAGAGAGACCTCCTCAGGCGAATACTGCTAGCTGGACCAAATCTTCCCTAACTCTTTCTAATCTCCTTTTTTCTGTTTCATTTAATTTTTTTGCTTGGCATTGCCCAAAGCCTGCATGCAAAGCCCTATAGGGCAGGAGCAGTTTGAATCTACTCACAAGCAGGGTCCTTAGGAAAATACAAAATAAAAAACTAAGAGCGTCTAAATAATAATACGTGTCAAATAGAGATATGTTTATTGAGGGGACTCAAAACGTATGCAAGTATAATTAATATCATTCTACATTAATGAAACATGTGAAATCAAAATGTCCTGCATTGTGCTTGGTGCCATGTGGTAAGTCCTAAGCAGAATGAAATTCCTGCTCCTTGTGCAAATTGTTAAGGAAACTCTCTCTGGGATAGCATTTAGCATTGGGGTTAACATCATCTTGACCACTGTAGCAATTTCTACATTCGTCTCAGATCTCAGACTTGGCCTCTTCTAAACACTGTCTTCACAAAGTAAGTGTGCAGTTTGTGTTTTCTAGTACTTAGTAAAATGCCCAGTTTTCTGCTTCCAGAATTCTTACGCAAATCCATTAAAGTCACAGCCCTCAGTCCATGGTTGAGCCCCTTGTGAGCCTAGGTCAAGATTATTATAGTGCCCTTTGATGTTTATCTTGGTAGGTTTCGCTGGCATCAGGTACCGAAGGTTCTTCCAAAATCTGGAATTCACGGGAAGAGATTTATCCTTTTTCCACTTCACAACCCTCTTTGATGGTAAAAGAGACAGTGATTCTGGCAAGAAACTGTAGTCACTTATTGGCATATACTCAATTAATATGATCTTAGTTTTTCTTTCAACTAGGGCTTTATGCAGTCCACTCTCAAGTTCATATATTGCTCTGTCAGAAATGTAGTTCTGGCTCAGTATAATGATTAATCTTCGGCTTTTGTCAATGAATGAATGGATATCATCAACAACCGCTGCAAATTAAAGATAAATGTGTTATCAAACTAAATTGAAAGAATAGGCACTGAATTGACTTATCCTTTAACAATCAGACGTACCAAAAATGCTCCCTTTACAAAGCTCCTGTAAAGGAGACACCATGTAAGTATTCTGTCCCTATGAAAAGATTAATATGCATTATAGATTAAGAGTCTGCGAAAATGAGCTCAGGTGTGGCCAAAGCTTGTTCTCTGGTGCAGACAAAACCCACATTCAGTCTCCAGCTATCCTAGGCAGCTGTCAGTAGTCAGATGAATACAAGGTGACAGCAAAATGTATTTTTCCTCCAACGAGACATCTCTTTGCTCTTTTATAATAGATACCACTGGAGGGATTCCACAGAAAGACACCAACAACAACCTTTCTCTAAATATTCAGTAACCCTAAGGTTACTCCTTCCTTTACATCACGGAATACCCAGATTATTGCCAGTAGTCCAAGGTTGAGAAGACTGGAATGTGATGACAGAATGAGTTACAACTGTGTTTCAGATCCATGACTTTTGTCATGACAAGCGATGAATGAAATCAAACAGTGATACCCTTCCAACAACCATGTGCCAAATTGAACACTCATGCACAACTTCCTGTGCTTGCTTCAGCACCATTTGACACGGTCTACAGACACCAGAGATCTGGCAAACATGCCCTGTAGCAAAAGGCAAAGCAAGCTGTGAGAGTAACCTGAAGAGAAATCTGAGAGGAGAAAGAGGCTAACAGGAGTATTACAACACACCAAAGGTCCTGTAAATAGAAGGAAACACTCTGTTTTCCATATTCACAATGGATCAGACCAGAGAAAACCAAGTAAGCTAAAACTATTTCAAAGAAGTTAGCTAAAACTATTGAAAGAATCAGATTTAACACTTCAGAAAGACTTTTTTTAATATTTAAGGGGAGAGAATAACTGGGGAAAAAAATATTTCTCACGAGACCTGTGGTACCTCTCAGGTTAAAAAAACTGTGTCAGGAATTGGTAGAAGGAGACAAAATCCTGCCTTGTGAAGAAAGCTGACTGACCTTATTGTTCTGTGTTTTTAACAATTAAATCCTATTCCTCAGTTAGATCTTTGGACTAAATGGAATCCCCTAGTATCGTTTTTCCAAGCATCTGCAAAAGGCTGTCTATCCATAACCCATTTAGAGAAACAGAATTCCATGTTCACATTTCTGTTTGGTTATGGCAACCATTACATTCACAAAATGGTTTCAACCACCACACTGAAGATAGAGTAAAAAACATGCAAGTTACGTAACTAGTACCAGAGACACCAGCTGCTCTGTGCAGTAAATGAGAGTTCATTTGTAGGTGCCTGCTCTCAGCAAAAGCAGAGTAAGAGCACTGCTACTGTGAAACATCTGACATCATATCTATTCTCACCTCAACTTTCTCCATTCACCTTGGTATTGTGTAATTAAAGATATGTGTGTGTGTGTGTGTCTAGGTGTACATGAATTCATAAAAATATCTAAAACATGTAAAATGTGTGCATGTGACTATTGCATGCACATAGCCTAGTTTAAATGTAAAATGCAGAACACATTTGACAGAATTCCTTCCAATTACACACTTTTACCTTTGTGCTAAAGTAATGTGCCTATTTAATGACAAGAATAACACGCACTCACCTCCTCCAGGGGACACATCCCTCTCAAATATACATAACTTGTAGCCAAAGTTTTCTTCTAATATCATGGGCAATATCTTCAAAGCAAATTCTCTCTCTTCTTCAGTAGGAGAAACGCAGTCTTTCAGGTAAGACACAAATGCATCATATTCTTTTCCATCTGGAAAGAAATCACAGATGGTTGTCTTGTTAGGAAACATTAGAAATACAGGATCTGATCCACCATTCTGGTTTTCAAAGTTATTGTCTCAGTAGCAAATCATCTAGAAACTCCTTCGATACCCTGAACACTCTTGAAACAAACAGACAAAAAAACATTCTGAATCAATTTAAACTTGATACAAAAGATTCTAATTGCATTGGGCAAACTACATTAAGGTAGGGTTTTTTTAAAAAAAAAACCTTCTACATTAAGGCAGGGTTTTTTTAAATCAGATTAATCAACTAATTTGTCACATGTGGTGATCAAGAAAATGAAGGGAAGCAAAACTCTGTAGCGTGGTAAGAATGCTATTTAAGTGATACTGAAGATTTCCACATTTATTTTACTCTTTGTCCAAAACTATTAAGTAGTTCTGTAGAATGCATACTGGCAAAATAGAATAAACCAATTTATTATTTTAATTATAAGAGTATACAATATCTGGCCGTGCTTTCAGCAGTAATTTACAAACACAAAATCCAAGAACAATTCAGAGGACAGGTCTACCAAATTAAGTGATACCTGATTCAACTTGCCACAGAAAACTATCTGAATTGATACTGCAGTGCACATAGCTTTGCATCTTAAACAGTACTTCTTTGCTTCCCTTTCTGGATACTTTAATACAAGTAGCTCGTAAGACAGAGCACAAACTAAAGTCCATGAAAACCCTACACATGCAAGAGTGCTGGAGTAGGAAATCCATTGTCTAATATCAGACAATCAGTTCCTCCAGGGTGGCACAATCCAGGTACTCTGAGATCCTCCCAGTAAGCCAGTGTACACAGTGATAGCTAACATCAGCAGATAGATAAACGACACTGGCAGACATAAATGCCATCCCAACTGCTGCAGTGTATTCAAGCTGATTTAGAGAATATGGAGGGTTAAGAAAATCAGCACATATATTCAGCAATTTTTTTCACGCCAATTTCAGAAAAATTGTACCCAGAACTGGGTGACTCTCAGACTTGCTCCTTAACTGAAGGTCACAGCAATGCTGCCTGGTAGGTTACTGGTAGTGGGCTCTCCTGCTCTCAAGTGCATTTAGTGACAAACCTATAAACATTGCAATGGCCTCTACAGTTTTAACCAATTTAAAAGAAATTTATGCCAATCTGCCTGACAACTGTAGAGTGCTCATCCTCTTACAGATAGGTAATTGTAAACTACTCCACCTTCATCAACTTTTGTGACGAAGAATATGGCAGAACAGAGCACATGTGAACTGCATCTAACCACATCCCTTTCATCTACTGCTCCAGGGGCAGCTTTTTCACTGTGTTTATCTGTTATTACTGCCCCGAGTATATTACAAACTTATTTCAGCACCTGACCATCAAGTTCTTTTTACATATTCTTTGTTGTTTCTAGACACAAAACTCCTGGATTTATTTTGTCTGTTCCTTGGATGATTGTTTCAGAGAACCTACTAAAACCTATTTTTAATCAATACACTTATTTCAATGTCAGCATTAGCCAACTCATACCTCTAGCAGTGTCATCTCTTCTGCACACGTTCCTGTAAAATAGAACTAAGTCGACTCTAAACATCACACAGACAAACACCGCAGCTACAGCAGCACATGGAAATAGTACAGCAAAGACCATTCCAGTTGTAAATATGTGCACAGGCAAATCTCTGGTGTTCCCTGTAAAACAGATACCCAGGAAATTACAGCCTTAACAAAAGGTATTATATGACAAGATTACTCTATCTGATACTGATAGCATCTTAAAATCACCCCAAAAATACCACAGTATTGGTATGAATCTTTTCCTGTTAATACTTCAAGCATATATGCATGCCATTTGTCCTGAGATGGAGAACTACAGAACATGGATTAGTCTAAAAACTGGATAAACAACCTTGCACACATTCACACACACATCACACACATAAATGAACTGTATGTGTGATCAAGACTGACACTACAGATACTTATAAATGTAAAGCATCTCAAACTGGTGGTCACCCTCTTTTATGATGAGGTTTTTTCAGGTTATTATTTCCTGTTATTCTCTACCTTTCACCCCTCTCTCAGTCCATCCATAACAGTCTGTAATGATCCCTCTAATCTCTTTGACCAAGATAATTGTTTGTTCCTTTCTGTCCCTACTGTCTTTCAGGATCTTTTTTTACTTTTTTTCCCCCATAGCTAGAAAGATAGAGTCCCTGACAAAAGAAAAACCGTGAATATTTCAAGCATTACCAGGAATATAAAAGATTAACCTGAGGGGGAGGGTGGTGATTTTAGAAAGAGCTGCTTGATAGACAAAGTGATCCAAATAGCAGACTCTGGGCTGCACCAAACTTTGGGTAGTTAACTCCCATGATCCCACCAATCTAACAAGTAGGAAAGGACAGGGAACACTCTGTCATGGGATCTAACAAAGTGCGACTCAGGGATCTGTCAGCTGGAGCATATCTCAGCCTCCCCATCTGTGTCCACAACAGCAGAGTCAAACTGTGGATCCCTCACATAGCTGCTCTAGCAGACATAGCAGCAACCTCTGCTGCCCCTGCCTCAGAGCAAGAGGAATCACCCAGGGTTCTGTTAGGTCCAGCACTAGATGGGCATGGGCCTTCATAAGCACACAGACATATTTGGAAAGATGTTCTGATATCAGTACCCTGCCCTCAGGACTGAGAAGGCTGGCATAATTAGTAATTACTTATGAGAAGTATTATTCACAAATTATACTGCACCTTTCTTCAGTTTCACTATTTTAATTTGTGTTCTTTCATCAGCTTGCAACATGCAGGTGAAATTATGATGCATGTCCTCGTCTGTTACTTTTTTAATCTGTAGTAGCCTTGTGACATAGAACTTGTTTCCCAGCCTGCAACAAGGAATGGTGTTAGCAACACTGTCTGTACAGAAACTTACAACCAGCTGAGAGGCAGATTTTGGGGAAAAGGTTCTAAAATAACCTCAGACTGAGGTTTTACTGAATTTGCAGTTCCACAAAGTGCAGGATATTACCACATACAAACAAAAGTGCAGTATTTTTAGGAAACCCACCGTAATTTTTTTAATTCTTCTTCACATATTGAAGGTTCATTCTCAGGGATACCTGTGCATTTTTCTGGAAACTCTTGATTAATTAACCAATAGAGGCTGGTGTCTTCTGACATATAATAACCCAAGGATCCTGTGCAATTGAGTATCTCTTCTTTACCTAAACAAAACATAACATGAAAAGATCTAGTCAGAAGTAGCATTCACATTCACAGTTCAGTAAAATGACAGCTTTCCAGGCACTGTATCCCACGAACTATGCTCCGTTCTGGACTTTGCAGCCCCTGCAGAATGTTTCACAGATGTTCTAAAAATTAATTACAGCCTCATAAAATCCCGGATCCTGTCCAACACTGTGTGAAGACTGCAGACCATGTTATCTAACCTACTTCCAGCCAAAAGCACAGTTAAGGTCTTGGCTTTTGATCTATTCTTTGAAGCAGTGACAGATGTTCATGCTCATTGCCAGACTGTCAGCCCTCACACTTTTCATTTCCCTGCAGAATAACATCCTCAATTAAATCAGGTACTAAGGGAATTACTCATTACTGGTGTTCACTGAACAAACTGGATGTCTTTCACACATTGCTCTGTGGGGTTAGCTATCTACAAAAGAAAGTCAGGGAGAGGTGATTTATCATCACCACCACTTTCTCTTGCTGGTCATAGCAGCAACATCAGCTTCTACCTCTATAAGAGAGCACATTTAATGTCTTTGCATATCAATCATGGAATACATTTGGCAAAACAAAAACATAACCAGATATAAGGATGGATCAGATTCAGGAGAATCAAACAGTTCTTGGTTTGATTACACTTAACCAGGCCATCAACCATAAAGAGATAGATCAGAAAAAAGGCATATATGTGCAATAGCTACCACAAAGATTCTTGTACTAATTTCATACCTATTTCGGTTTCAATTTCTTCATGACGTCCAACTATCTCCAAAGTTACAACCTCTGGTGCATCTAGAATACAAAGTATTGCTATTGAAGTAATAGCTTATTTACATTCTACCACAGTAAAAATTACATATTCCTAAAACTAATTGGATACATTCCATTTTACTCACAGAATACTATTTGGACTCTGGCATTACTCAGTAGTTTAAAATACAGTATGTCCTGTTGATTTTTTTTCAAATGCATATGTAGTATACAGTGCACAACTTACAGTGGTTGGAAAGGTTGGAAACTAAGAGTTTTCTTCCCCAAAATTCTTAATAAGTCTGTATGACTGACTTACAGCAGCTGATTTTAAACTTCTTTAAAAAAACCATGGGGAAAACATACTAAATAAATTTTCCAATCAGTAATATAGCATATAAACAACTTCCTCTGCCTTTTTATTTTTTACATTCTTGTGAATATTTCATCCAGATTTGATCACGTGTGCATATATTTATCAAATAAGAACTGTAATTAAAAATCTCTGTAGTGAAGAGAACCAAAAAGCATGCTTCCAAATTTTAGAAAGCTTTTTTACCTTCTTCTACTACCAGCTTAATTGTATTTGTGCTGTGGTATATCTTTCCTTCATGACTGATTAAAATTTTACAGGTATAGATCCCTGAGTGCTGTACTGTTAAGGTTCCAAAATCCAGTTCCCGCTCTGTTTCGCTTTCATAGTTCTTACAGTCCTGCATCAATAAAGACAGAAAATACTATTCTGTAGCAAAATTACATTGAAAACCTTAAAGAAGTTGATTGTTTTTGAAACAGTGTCACTCTTTCACTATCTCAATGGCATTTATCTGACCCAAAGGAGGTGGGTGCCCAGTTTTCAGACATGTTGACTTAAACGCAACATTTGAACATTTAATCTATTAGAACCTGAGAGCTCTGCAATTCCAAGTAAGCACCTGAGTATAAAAATACTGTACCAGGAATTTAAATGCACTCATTTATTTTTTTCAGAATGATTGTTTGGTTCTGTAGGTGTCACCTGCCTGTGGCCAAAAGCTGTCTAGGCTTAGGAGGAGCTTTCAGGTTAAAGTAAAATGTCTCAACAACAGGGAAAGTGAACATCTCAGAGGATGTCAAGAGTTGGACTCAGATTTGTTTACCTCCCTATCCCCCAAAACAAACTCTGGTTTCTTGGGTGGTTGTTGTTTGGGATTGTTTTTTTTAGTTCATAGAACATGCAAGATGAAATACCTATGAAAACACAACAGTATTTGATTCTCTTATATGAAAGGCATGTGTATATCTGTTCTCAGCTTAGGGTAGGCAGAATCCAAATGACTGTACTTAAGCAGTCAAAGTTCCTTCCTAAAACTTATTCAGCATGGAGTGAACCGGGTCTGTTACTCCGGCCAGGACACCTGAGAGGAATAAGGTGCACTGGTTAAGGCAATGCATAGGGGCAGGCTGTTTCATCCAATGGTTGAGCAAAATACCCAACAGTTACGGGTGCTTGCACAGCTATCACCTATGCTCTGTCAAGAGCTGGTAGAGAGAAGCTCAGTGATATGCCTAAAAATGAACAGAAATGGATATGTTACACATTTTGTAAAAAGTGTTCAGAAACAGCAAAATTGAAAAGTTTGCAATTACTTTACAAGCACATGCCAACTGTAAAACAAATATCTTGGCACCTCATTTAGTGTCAGGATAATATCTGTATCAGCAAAGTAGCAGCTGATACCAGCTGGCTAAACCAGCTGCTGACTAAATCAGCAAACAGACATGGGCATCAGATCTTTTACCATTCCAAACTATGAGCTTATTACAAATTTCTAATTACAGGTACATTTTTCTAACAAATCTGAAAGCAGAGAAAAATTAGCTTTTGTACCTATTTCTGAATGATTTTTACCCTAATAACCCAGGAAAGTAAAGCTTTACAAGGTTTGTAGATGCTTCTAAAAATTTGTTTGTGATTAATTTTTCCTGCAATCAGATGTTTTGTTTCTATAGCCTATGAATCAAGTGACAGTTTCAGTAATTACCTTGTACCATGCTATGCTGTCATTTTCATTGACAGACAAATCACTGCATTTCAGTGAATGACCAGTTCCAGCATTTTTAATTTCTGTAGTTAAATGATTTTTGTTGAAACAGCTGCTTTTGTTTCTTTCAAGTACATTCAAGGTCCACTTTTGAATTGTGAGATTTTGTTTTCCATTGCTATGAAAAAAAATTAGCAAAATCAGATTTAGAAGCTTAGTGAATTACACAACAAAACACAAATAAATTCTTTAATGTAAAGAGTACATCTACAGTGACCTAATTATTTATATTCCTCTTTATTACTCTTCCACTCCCAAACATGTGTTTCCCATAACAAAGGTTATCTAAACCAAATCATCTATCACAAAACATTTGACAATACAGCTATATCTATGAAATATGACAATGTATGCTATATGACCAGAACAAGGATGCAACAATCTGTGTCATCAGGTATAGTTACAAGTGAGCATAGAAGTGGTTTAGGACCTTGAACCAGCTAGTGATTTTGCAGGCTTACTCTCCTGTGCAATGCTAAGGTTTAAAGCAGTAACTGAAAAATGTTTTTGTAAATATGCCAAAAATAAGATGGGCAATTCTGCTACTGTTCACAAAGAAACATTATTCATTTTTTGATAGTGTGCAGATAGTCACCAATATTTTGGAAATATTTCTAAACTACACAAACTAAACTTTCTAAATACTAAAATAATATTTCTAAACTAAACATTTCTAAACTACACATGAATGACAGAATCACGGATTCAAGCATGACTGCAAAACAAGGCATTTTGGAAAGGATTCATCTCGTTGTCTTTCATTCTGCACAGATCAAAGATCTGCAGATCAGGTGAATATGCTCAAAAAAGGCCTATTTTGAACATCTAGAAGCTGAACATTGTCATTCAGATGTCTACAGTGTTCTATCCACGTATCCTCTAAAGAACCAGAACATAGCTGTGAGTTATTCCATTACTGGATATGTCCAAATACATGACTACCAAGCAGAAAGAAGCTGGAGGACTTTGGGCTTAAGTTTGGCAAAGTTGGCATGACTTTGGCAAAGTTAGGGCTTAAGACAAACTCGTATCCTCCTGTAAGTTTATGAGTGAGATTTCACAGTTCATGCACAAAGCTCCCATTTTTTACTGAACAAGTACAAGTTCTGACAAAGCATAAGCAGCAATCACAGAGCACTTCCCTCCAGTGTAAGTCGTATCTTCATAAATATGTTTGAAACTTTCTGTCTCTGAGAAAAGAAAAGGGAATCATTCCCAGGAGAACTGAAACTAGTCAAGAATAATTTAAATCAGAAGGACTGAGGGGACAAAGCAGTTGAAATGGAGAAGCAAGCCTGACAAGTATATCAGCTTAAACATATGCCTTTTACTGTTATGAGATTCAGAGGAACTGTTAGGACATCATTTACATGATGAATTTAGACCAAGTTTGGGATTGTTTTTGTTTTAATTCTTTTTAAGGTCCCCGATCAGGTGTACTTGCATATTTTGCTCACTCTCTTCACATTGTAGTTCTTTTTCAGCCTACCAAGTTTCTCCTTGTCATCCTTACTCACTTGAGATATTCATTACTCATAATTGCAATTGACAATATAAATCAAAACATAGTGGTTTGGTTTCTCAATCAGTTAACTGTGGTGTCATAAACAGGAAAACCTTATCAAGACTTTTTCTGTCAGTACTACTCTTGCATGGGTATTCACGGTGGGTGGAGTCCTTCTCACATATTCTTCAACATTACATTTACACATTTAAATTAGAGCTACTAATCACACTTAGCAGTGGGACGATAGCCACCTTTTAGAGTGCAGTTTACATGACCTATTTTATATGTTTGGTTTAGGACAAGACAATCTATGCCCCAGAAAGGCCTCTCTCTCTCTCTCTGATGGTAAAGGGTGTCTATGATAAGATTAGGTGTAGACATAAAAGTTAGTTCCAATTAATTCCACTGAATCTGTGTGTTTCTTTAGGTGTCACACCAGTATCTGAATACTGCTGGAGAGGCAATTACGGATCTAGCCATAAAATACATACAATTTTATTATCTAGATTCAGCAGATAGATAGAAGAAAACGATCGATAAAGCCATGTGTTCTCATCAGCATTGTAACTCTACAGAGGCTTTCTTCTGTGATCATATTTGGTGAAATCACTTCAACAAATACGAGGATTTCACCCAAGGTGGATCAAGATACTCTGATGCACCAAAACAAGAAACAGCTTCCTGGAAAGTGACAAAACCATACCTAAGCAAACTAAGATTAATTTGCCTTACAAAATTTCTAGTTGTCTGCCATATACATGATTTTCAACCCTCCAAAAAATGTGAAGTTGTCTTTTTTAATACACTAGTATCTGAGCCATTGTATTTATATCCTAGTTTTCACTTGCTGAGATTCTTTAGTGATAATCTGTGGGGAACAAAACCATTTCCAGTTTAACAGCCTTCCAACTCAGCCACCAAACCCACCAAGGAACAACAAAAACTGGCTTTACTCAGGAGAGGATACAGGGAAGTGAAAGCCCTTAGAGAATACAAACCAAATTTACTGGATACATTGCCAGGTCAAGAGTCATCCCTTAGCTATTTCACTGCAATGAGCCAGTATTCCAACCTATTGCAAGAAACTGTTACTCTGACTTTCAAACTAAAATATTAATTCTAAATGAGTGTATTCCCACTGCTCTCAACTTTCACTGTGTTCTAAACACAGTGAAAAAGAGAGAAGTATTAGGATCTTAAAATGAATCATGTGTTTATCATGGATATCTGTACTTTCGCTTTTTCCAGAAAAAAGGTCACCAGTTCAGAGCAACCAGATGACCTGCTTTTTGTATTTTGGTTTGGTTTTTTTTCTTGATAACTACAGGATATAAGCTATGAAAAAACATAGAAAATAAAAATCCTGCCAAAGATACGTGACACAGTTTTTCTGCTTACCACAGTGCATATGAAATCCTTTACTTTCAAGAAACATAGCTGAAGATGGACACACTCAGGCTTACAGGTGATGTCTATTGATTCCTGAATTTATATCCTGTCTACTATACTAACAAACATGCAAACACACCAACACACACATGCACACACTTTAGCTATCTGAGCTATGTCTCAGCAGGAGACTTCTGCTTTAACTGGAAAACATCTGATAGTTTTTAAAGTCAAAAATAAGTGTATAATACACCATAAAAGTATTGTTACATAATTTTTATCTCTCGCTTCTTGCATATTGTCAGTTGTATCATACAAGGAAAAAACCCCCTACATTTAATTAATTTGCAAAATCTGTGAGCATATGTTGTCTTATTTTTCTCAAAATCTGCAGTATAGTTAATTGTCACTTTGCTCACTAAAACTGCCTGAACAGTTATAAGCACTCTAAAAATAATTTCCCATATAGCTTACAAATACTTATCTCTAAATTAAATAGTTGAAAATAAAAGACTGTCTGCCTTGAAAACCAAAACTTTAGCCTATTATAAACACTCTGAAATGAAACTAGTACCATTCTAATTGTCATCGTAAACCAATGCAGTAGTCCACAGTAGTTCACACTTCTTCCTTATCAATGGAAACTACTAGGTCCTCTCTCTCTGCAGAAATATGGTTCTGCAAATAATCTTCTGTGATTGTTGAAATGTAACTGCTTTAATATGCTTGCCAATAGTGAGAACCATCATATAAACTAAGCCAAAGACGCCATTCCAATCCCATAAAAAAAAAAATCCCTTATGCTTATTGTTCCAGTGATGACATCTGTGAAAAATCCATATATGACAGTTGCAAGATTCTGGCATATGCCTTCATTCTGATCCTAATAGAAAAATTAGTATCTGTATGGCCATAACAGGAAAAAATTCTTTTGGAGAAAAAAAAAAAAAAAAGCTGTTTCAGTGTGGTCAAATATGTATTTTTATTAAGAAGTAAGTAAGATTATAATAATAATGACACATAGAAAAATAAAACATTAAGTTTTCAGCTTCCAAGTTAACTTGGAAGTTAACAACTGAAGTCTTAGCTTAAAACTGTGCACTATCAAACTTGTGTCTGTGATGTTACTGGAGAAATGTGGAGAGCATTTTTCAGTATCGGCAGTCCCGTAAGTTACAAATCAGACAAGAATCTTAGAAATGTTCCCTGAAGAACATCACAAGTCATTACATGCAAAATAACCTGCTTAAAATTAACTAGCTTCAATTGTAAATTAATTACAGTTTTGGTGCAAGTTAGTTATAAGAACTCCATGCAGCAAAACTTCAATTTAGTCCTTTATTTTTTCATGGTGTTCTAGTGAAGCTAACTGCCAAATAATTGAAGCCCACCCTTATCTATCTTTTTGACTCACTATGTTCTGCAGTGGTAAGATACCAAATCCAATGATTTCAGCTGTTCTTTGAATGTCTCCAAGCATGCAGAGTTTTGCTCAGAAACCAGAGTTCAGCTATGCCACTCTTCATTTATTACTTTACTATACAACTGTATCACTTGGCAGGCCTTATAGCATGAGATCCACTCAGCACAGTAAGGAAGCACATATCTGGTGGAGAAGACAAGGAAATGTTTCCTTTTTCTTGGCAGTGGACAGAAGGGTTGCCTATCACTCATTTTGCTTAGGTAATTAATCACAATCCAGCAGAAAGGCTACTTGCCTTATCAAAAGGCTTACAGAACCTTTAAAAGGGTACCACTGCCTATAGCTACTTGTAAATATTATAGGTTTGCCTGAATGGTAATTGTACAGGAAATATAATTCCTTTGTATGGATGCCATTAGCAATACAAAGCAAGACAAAGAAATCATCTTCTTCATAGACAAGCGCAAAGGCAAGATGTTCACACACCAGCTTGTGCACCTACCTGTGAATGACAGAGTAATTCCCAGAGTCACCCAGTTCAACTGGCCAAAACTCCAGAAAATTCATGTGGGAAACAATTCTGTGTGTTTCCTTGATCAGTTCCTGCTTTCCAGCATTATCTTTGTACCAGTTTATTGTGTATGCTCCTTCCTGAAAATGTTCTTGCAATGACTCAAGATAACAAAGGAAAAAATATTCTCCTTCTAGCACATCAATGGAAGCACGAAGGGGACACAGCTTCCCTTCAGAGAGAGAGAGGGGGAAGAAAAAAAAACATCAGAAAGCCAAGCACTTCTTTCATAAAATTACATTAGCCTGACTTCAAACTCAGCTGTGTTACTGCTGGACTTCTATAAAGCAACTTTCTTTCAGCAGAGTTGTTTTGCAGTATTTATTTATTTCAGCAATGCTTACTGGAAAATTGAGTTTTCCAAGTCTTTATTCTACATCACCCAAGCAAAACCAGAAGGAGAGGGAGGGTAAAATAAAAAGGCATTTTGCTAAGATTCTTTCACATGGATCCAACAGTTTCAGAATCAAATGGGCACAACCAGCAGAATATAGACTCACTCTACAGTCAAGCAGCTGCCACAAATGGAAGGGGAAAGAAGAAATTCTTTACACATGGTTTGATTTGGCAATTATGGCTAATACTCCAAACTGGTCAACTGCTGCAAAAGCAGAGATCCTTTTAATTAGCATTTGCATTTTCTTATTTTCTTAATTGAAACTCAATCATTATATAGCTACATTTCTTTAAAGCTTATCTATATAAATATATATAAAGATATATTTGGGAAAGTTGCTTTGGAATGAGATTATGTGTGTAAAATTTAGTCTCAAAGTCTACTTTTCCAAACAAATTTCCCAAATGTATCTTGGCATACAGAAGTCATAAAAAGATAGAAAAGGGACTATGGTGTGGCATGACAGTCAAAATAAAGTAAGTCTTCTGTCTCTGTCAGTCCTGAGGTTCTCAGAGATTATTGTTGTTTAGCAACTATTATGACCACACTTCTGAATGGCACAAAAAGACTCATTCTCTTCCTCGCTGTGGCTTTTCACAGAGCCATGCTCCCACACAACATCATCAGGTGTCTCCAGGTAGATTCTCTGCTCTTTTAATTTCATAATTTTGGTATTTCGGACCAAATTTCCCAAGTCTGAAGCTGTGCTGAAATTACCAAAATCCTTAAGATTTTGCTCTTCACTGCAAAATACAAAATTTATCTCACTCTTAGCAGCTGTCAAGATGCCACATATTGAGCAAATATTCTGAAGGTTCTACCATTGAAATGAAATTTTATACTTACCAGTGGCAGATTCAAAAATAAGCATTAAAAACCAAATCATTAGAGTCATTTTCTTATTTCTCACTTCTTCTCCAGAAAAATGAAACTGAATTGTTCTTGCTTGTTATGAAAGCCTAAGGAAAAAAACATTCAAAATTTATCACAAGTACAGTGAAACAGATTCCTTTGGGCATCTGAGCAGTGTAATTATTGCCTGGTACTGAAGAGACCTTTCCAAATACACATTTCCAAAGTTACATGTTGTAATCACAGCAGCTATTTTTCTAGATTTTTCTTAGCAAGTTTATTTTAAATTCAGAAGCACTGCAAGGGTTTTCTTCTTCCATCTTCTTGTTCATTAGATGTATTTCACATTTCTGATTAAACCGACAATCTTACAGAAGCACTCAAATTTAGATCCCAAGTCAGCAGACACCTACAAGGATAGGACAATGCTTTTTTTCTCCACAGAGTATAAACTTTGCAAGACTGGACTCTGTAGAAACAGCTAGTAGAAACTTCCCTCGCCTTTGATGAGAACAACAAAATGTTGATAGATCAGAGATCTTCATGGCTAATTTTGAAGCTGTTAGAAAAATATGGGATTTGAAATTTTGCCTTACAATTTTGTCTATGGAATCAAGAAGCACCAGCTTAGAGAGATAACACGAGGGGGAGGAGATGAAGAAGCTCATATTCAATTGCTTCGTATGTAGTCAATTGTGCTTTCAAAGGCAAATGGAAAACACCACTAAATAACACCAGCATGGAGTATCTGTTCTAAGATTCCTCGGAACAGCAGGTTAGCTCACAAGCAAAGGCAGAGTCGGTTCTAAGACTGTGCCTCAGTTTTGCTTACACAACAAACCAATTACATGCTTGATAAGATCAGCTCAACTTCTGCATCCAAGACAGACAAGCTTGCTTAGTCACTGACCCAGACATGCATGGACATATGAAACACACACAAGATGTATTTCACAGAGAACTGTCAAATAAAATCTCATTAGCCATCAGTTTCTTGGGTTTACTACCTAAACCTCTTGTAATTTGAGAAATACTTACTGTTCTAAGTTAGCGCCCTGATATTCACTCAGAAACTTCCTGTGATCTAAAGCAGATAGAGGACACAGGCTACTGCATTTCCAGCAATATGCCAGAATGACATCAAGCTGTGTAGCTGCTCTCTCTCTCTCTTGTCATTCTCCCCAATTCTTTACAAGTATGCCATCATCCCATAAATCGCTGTAGGGAGATGAAAGAAGTGTTTCACATCCCTTTTTTTCAAACTGACTGGTAGACAGATCCAGATTTAGAAAGCAGCTAGAAGAAGTTGGATGCAGAGTACTGCAACAAACAACTTTAAAGGGTCATACAGAACACCCATCAGATCTGCTTTCAGTTCCCTTCTACACAAGGAGATTCAAAGTGCTACACTTTAAAAGGAAATTAGGGCCTCTCTTTGTTTTCATTTCTTGAAATTACTTTTCATTTTTCACCCTATCACATTCAGAAGAAATACAGCTGACCATGAAACTATGACCCATTACATAAAGATAATATCATTTATTACCAGAATTTTGATTCTAAATCCCATTCTTTGTTGGCACATCACACCAGCACACAGTGGAAGTTTTGCTAAATGCAGAGCAGAGCCCTTCATTCTTTTAACAGGGATTAAAGAACACAGTAAATGCAAACTACTTAGTAATTACCAGCTGTCGGATTAGTGGCTACTATTAAGACGCAAAACACAGATCCTTAATCTTACTCTCACATTGCTGTTGAACCTGATCAATTTGTCTGAAATTGTTTTACTCTAGGCTAATAGTATTTACATTTGAGCCATATGGTTTTCAGTACTCATCAATGAAACACTAGGAGGGAGGAAAGGAAAGGGGAGAAAGATATATGCTTTTGTTGAAAGTCAGTTACTATAAAGAGATTCTTCAAGGAACAGAATAAGATTATTAATTTTCAGAAAGCGGTTGAGAGTTATTTTACAGTAAAGGCAAAGATTCTCTGCCTGGTAAAGACATACAGAAATACACAATGGGAAAATTGCTGAAACAAGAGCGGGGAATAAGTCTCAATGAAAAAAGGTATTAAAAAACCCCAGTTGTCTGTAAGGTCCAAAACAATAATAGATTTAAGCATGTTTTTAAAAAAAATCAAACGTGCTTAAACCACTGATGGAATTTTAATAACAAAAAATGGTTCTTAAAAATCATTGTGCCATTGTGAAGCCAACAAATTCTTTAAACAAACTGAAGGTGTAAGTTCTGTAAAATGTATTAATGATACCTCATGAACTAGATAACTGTGCATATTTAAACATGGCTATAATTATTTCTTATTTTCCTAGACTCACTGGAAGAGTTTTGGAATGAAAGGGGGCTGGTACCTTGAAGTGAACCTCAATTTTGGTCAAGCAGCTCATTTTGATCAATACTTTTAGAAACCTGAATTTGGTCCCAAAGGTTTGTGACTTTTTTAAAAAAATAACAACACAATTTCTTCTTAACATCAGACTGTTTGAACAAATATTTTGGGGTCAAGGGAGGAAGCATAAATCTTACCTCTTTAGGAACACCTTCTTGTGGAATTTAAGTTTTTTTCAAATATCACCACACAGTGACATAATTTGTGTGGGATTCATGAAGAAAACAGAAGGATCTAGCAAACAGTAGCCTTAATCATACTAGGTCCAAGTACCATTCTGTCAGGATTGCAATTTATTGGTAAAAATGAGAATCTATCTTCATTCCAAACAACATAAGTGAAGTTAGTTACTTACTATGCAAATCTTGCCAGGTGGAAAGCAGATGCAGAGGTAGTCTTCCAAACTCCAGAGTTACAACTTGTACTTACAACTCTTCAGAACTTCATTCATTACTGAAACAGAGGGTAATCTCTCTCAATAAATGAGTTAATACATAGACAGCTCAGTCTGAAAAACCTCCTGAAAAAGGAAGAGTGGAATTTCTCGCTTTGTGAACTGTTTATTGCTGGGAGGAAAACAGAAAAGGTAGATGTGAGAAACTAATTTTTACTAACATTTGCAGAAAGGTAATAGCAAATTACGAGTATTAACATTTCTAAATGAAGTATTTGAGGGCTGATATACAAATGTTTTAGGTATCATCTTTTGCTGCTACCATCTACAATAGCACTTCAGGAGCTCATCAAGCTCAAAAAACACCTAGGTGGCAGGGAAAGGGCTGGGGACAGCCCAGGGAGGGCAACTTTGCAATGCCAGTGAGGAGCTGTTCTCTGAAATAAGCCCTTTTCAGACCTAAATTATTTATGACATCTCTGTAATAAGGAAGAAGTACATCATGGGCCTGGGAGAAAGTTGGAAAGAGGTGCCTGAACAATGTGGCACCACAGCACCACAGGCAGGAAAAGCACGGCAAAGAAGACAGGGTTGGGGACAGGCAAGATTGGGGACAAGCAGAGCTGGGGACAAGCACAGTTGAGGGACAGGCAAGGTCAGGGACAGGCAGGGTTGAGGGATAGGCTGGTTGAGAGACCAGCAGGGTTGCAAAACAGGCAACATTGATGACAGGCAGGGTTGAGGACTGACAGGGTTGGGAACAGGTGGGGTTGAGGGATAGACAGGGTTGAGGCAAAGGCAAGGTGAGAACAGACAGGCTTGAGGACAGGCAAGGCTGAGGACATGCAGTGTTGGGGACATGCAAGGCTGTGAACAAACAAGGTTGGGGACAGGCAGGGTTGGGGACAGGCAGGGCTGGGGACACACAGGGTTGGGGACTGGCAGGGTTAAGGACATGCAGGGTTGGGGAAAGGCAGGGTTGGGGAAAAGGCAGGGTTGAGGACAATTAGGGTTAGGGACAGACATTGTTAGCGAGATGCAGGTTTGATATTAGGCAGGATTGAAGACAGGTAGTGTTGTGATCAATGAGCTGCCCCCTTAGGACTCTGCCCGAGTGTGTTCAGACGGCTGGGTCTGCCGCGGCAGGGCATGAAACGCACTCACTCGGAGAGCACCTGCAGGTATGTCCTGACCAGATGTAGGCGCCCGGCTTCTCAGAGAGAGGGTCGACCTAGCAGCCCGCGCCTATCCCCGCATCCCTCTGGCCGCCCACCCTCTCTTTTCCCTACCCCGGCCCTCGGCGG